AGAGAAGGAGAGAAGAGAAGCTGGTCAACTCGTTGACATTTACTCGCTTTCGCGAGTCTCCCTTTTTTTCTTTGTCTCACCGCGAGACGCGGCGGGCTGTGTACTTATTGCAACGTCCTTGGAAGTCGGGTTCATCTCGTCGCATAAGCTCACATCTCTCTCATTCTCTCTTTCTTTCTGAATTGTCTCACTAAAATCGATCTCGAAGAATTTTATTTGCACGTAAATGGCACGCTGCCGGTCCTTCAATATCGAAATTACGCGTCACGATCTTGCAATAGCGCGTTAAAAGCACGATTGGAAGATCGAAAAAAAGTGTCAATGAGATCCATTACAGGTAAACGGCTTCACATATTCGTTCGCATCTTCGACTTTTATTCGGAATCCGCTCTGGGCGATGGGCGTTCAACCAGTAATTAAATCTCTCGCGTTTCGCCGAGCTTCTGAAATCATGAGGGCTGATGTGTCGTTCATCACGCATAAATCGAATTTATTTCTTTAATCTCTATCGTTGCGAAAGATACACGATTTTTTTTTAATAATATAAATTTATTGTTTATGTATGTTTGGAAATGTATAAATCTCTTAGAAATAAATATAACTCGGAAAAGATTCAAAAATTTACATAATTATCCAATTTTTCTAATCTTACAAAACTTAATACAATAATTAATAAATAAAAGTTATGTTGTATATTCAGTCCTAGCCGAGGTAGAACAGCAAGTCACAATAAAGTCAAAATGACTGCAAAATGACGATTTTTCGGTCATTTTACCATCATTTTGATTTTATTGTGATTTTCTGTACTCCCTGGGAGATATTTCCAAGGATTTTTTTTAGGATTTTTATAATGTTTCTGTGCGCGAAACCTAAAGCTTGCGTTTTCCTTACCTAGCCCGAAGTCTGCCTCGGTTGCATAATTTTAACGTATACGATATAGACATTTCGATAGATTACTTGGAATTTAACACCGCGCCGTCCTTACTTGGAATTTAAGGTTGTAACCCCGCACGTGATGCCTAGCTAATGCAGAAAAGGTCCCTCATTGCGCGATTCTCAATGTACTATCTGTGCGCCGCCCCCTCGTAAATCATTCATCACCGACTCCCCGCGGCGGAGGAGGGTGAAATTCGTTCTCTATGGAAACAGCGACGTCTTCAATTGACATTTTAATACGTCGCTTGTAACTGTTTCACTCACTTTACGCTGTCTCGTGATACGTTATTAAAGTTAACGAGACTCCGTTGTAGCTTAATCTTTCGCGAGCGATGCGCGCGGTGACGCAAAATTTCCCAATCGCTTTTTTAAAATGCTGACTTATTCATCTTTGTGGGGCCCTATCTTTGGCATATTTCGACTCGACGCGAAAGATTATTCGACTTTCCCTGTAGATTTTTTATTTTTATGCGTTTTTCGGTTCCTCAGGAATTTAAGGATAAAAAAATCTTCGTGTTAACTCGATTAATCACAAGTTTCATGACGAGGAGCTTTACTAATGAAGCAAAACCTTGACAGAAGATTAATTAAAATAGAAAATAGCGAAGTCTCTTGAGGTGTCCCGTCATCTCTAACAGGTGTAACGTCTCTGTGCATGATGATGCAAGAAATCAAATAAGGCTCCTTACTAAAGTAAAATAAAGTGTTGTGCTTACGCGTGCAATAAAATACCTCGCGTACTTTGAAGACGCATAATGCTCATCGTACAAGCAATCGCATTGTAAGTTTGCTTATTTCTCTGAGAGTCATCTCTGGGTGCATACATATGTGTATGTGTGTATGTGTGTTTGTGTATGAATATTTACTTGATGCATAGTGATGAATAGAGAAATCGAAGTTTGCAAAACTTCGCTTCGCTAGAGTTGTGCCGAAAATTGAAAGCGCTTGCTTGAAGGGTAATTAATAACGATACGATTGTTACGAGGTGTGATATGATAATCGAAGTATAATTAATTACCGCGAATTTACCGTATGTAAATGAATCGTGGAATTAAAGAGAGAGAGAGAGAGAAAGAGAGAGAATCATCTTCTTCGTGATCTTTGCATAATCGATGTATAATCATCGGAGTCTGCGTTTACGGTCGCGAATCGTGACGAACACTGACTTTCTCACGTACAAAAAGCGTAAAGACGAAAAGATGGGAGCCGTTTCGACATTAGAACGTCCGAGACCTGGTGCGCGGCACAAATCGTTTTTTACATCGGAGCGACAGGCAAAACCATCGCGTTACGTCCAACCGACATTGTCCGCCTCGGGCAAACGCAATCGTAATGCATTCAATTGTTACGATATCCTCGTTGTCTTCCCGAGATTTTTTCTGTACCCAACAAGAAGAACAACGCTACCACAATGCTATATATCGAGAATCTATTTGTAGCAAAAATTCTTTCGGCATAAAATACGTCGAAGATATTTCTGGCATCGATGACGGCAACATTGGCCAATATTCAAAAATCTGGAGACGCCCAAGGATTAAACATTGAGAGATTCTTTTTGTTACACGCACGAGAGAGAAAGAGAAAAGAAAACAAGGGAGGGGAGGATGGAAGAAAGAGCGAGGAAGAAAAAAAATATTATCAGAGCGGGCGAAGAGACGCGGTGGCCGGAGGCGCGCTCCTCCTCGAGCGCTTCGCCGTCGCATCTTCTGAAATGGCAAGGTCACCGGTAACCTTACGTCACCAACTTTCCTCCGGTGTGCGCGCTCGTATACGACTTCGAGAAAACCAAATGTCACAATGACCAAGGACGTTTCGGCCGCGCGTAATGTAACGTCGCCTACGGCCGGCGACGATGAAACCGCGGCGCGGCGCGGCAGGAATCCGCGCCACGGGGAGTTTCGGCTTTCACATTTTCGGGTCGAGATCGGGCGAAGAAGAAGATCGCGCGCGCGCTCCAGGCTCCAGGTGCATGCGACGACGCATCTCCCGCGCACGACCGTGGCCTTGTTCGAGTTGCGTTCGTCCGCGAAAACGAAAGCAGAAAAGAAGAGATGTGACAGGGGGGGCCTCGCGAATCCGCGCGATCGAAAAGAATTGGGGCCGCGCGTAGCCGCGAGATCTCAAAGTCCGCGAGATGAGGAGATGAGATTAATGTCTACCATTTCTACCAAATTTAACTTTAAACTTACTTTTTATCTTTTTCTCGTTCTAAAAATTAAAAAAAGATAAAAAGTAACTTGAACCAAGATTGAAGTTAATTCGCATTGGTGAAAATGGACATAAGAGACCAAAACCCATCGGGTATACGTAATGAAATTTATGTAAGACGTACGATCTCGCCGTTACATCTTCACGTGTGCGCAAAAAAGGGTACTTTACGTTCGAAAGTTCGCTACTTTGAAGTAAATTTCAGGTAAATTTCAGACGGATGATGGCGGTTAATTCATAAAATCGGGACCGAGCTTATCGCGCTGGCGCGAGACGAATGAAGATCGTACGCAGCGATCGAAGTCGTGTCGCATTGTAATATGATGAGAACGGGAACAATCGTCTTTGTGCAACCGGGTCGCCCTTGGCAATGATTCCGCGCCATTCCGCGGATTCCTGCCGCGGAAAACGAAGGCGTCAATTCGCGATGCACCTGAATGAACAGCGGACGGAGTAGACGCACACAAATATAAATACGCGAGCGTGTTCGCGGGTGTTTCAGAATGAGAGGGTCGTTGCGCAACGCGTAAACGCACCAACACGACGACGACGACGACGGAGGCGCGTCCAGGCGCAGCGATCTCTTCGTGCGGCGTATCGATGCGCCGACGTCTAATTCGAAATATAATTGCGCACGGCGTCGTTGTAAATGCACGTAGATATGCGCACATTAACGGCATGCACGGTTGTAAAACGCACGAACGTCGCGTGCATAACTCGTTGCATCGGTAAATATCATTAACGCCGTAAGACAAGGCGGTGGAACGTCGTTAGGTTCCGTCACGCCTTTATCGTCCTCGGCGAGCGCGCTTAAGTTAAATGGCATTTTTATTTGCGCGTGAAGAATTAATGACTTATGTAATAAGCTCATTATTTTAAATCGCATTTGTTCGGCTTATTTGTATCTGCAATCGGAACGCGGGATACCTGGTATATCAGGATTCTCTGGTAGCGATTACGATTACGCGCGAGTAATATTAACTGCGAGGGGTGAGGGGGGGAGGAGCGTCGTTATTCCGTCACTCGTTAGTGTCAAAACTTCACGCAAATTACAGCTGATTTCTGCCAATTATAATCAGATTTGCATTTCTGTGTTTACGCTTTGAAGCTCGATTAACGTGAGGCGCGATGCAGCGATATCGCGAATTTGCGAAAGGCAGTAACTGCCCCGAAAGCTATCTTATTTTTTACAAAACCGCAAGTTTAATAAATGTAATTAAATAAAATTGATTATACATATAATCGACTTCAACGGTACGTACATATATATAATCAACGTTAATTATACGTACATATAAATATAGAATTAGCAAATTATAATTTGATGTTTCATATAATTACAAATTATATGAAAAATTTGTAATCACAATATAAGGGCTTTTTGATTGCATGATTATTCCAATACCTAATAAATTCACTTCTAGTAGAGTTAGAATAAAAAATAATAGAGCTGTAAGAACCTACATGCCAATGGAGATATAAGACTTGATAAGAAAAGCAATTATTCATTTTAGGAAAGATATCCTAAGATCTCCTTTTTTCGAGAATATGATATTTTCTCAAATTTTACGGTATCTTTACGGTAAAGTCTGTCATAAAACAAGGCTCATATTACAGCAAATTTGCCATAAATTATCGCAGCAGCGTGCGTTTGCAATGCAAAGCAATACAAGCCCGCAAACGAGCAGCATCTAACGGCGATCGTATACCATCAGATCGCGGATGCATCCTTGCTGCGGGAGAGACTCATCCGCGAATCCGTCGGGGGCTGTTGCTGCTGCACGTGCTGCAGGTGGGGGGATGTGCAACGCGGCACCGCGATTTTCCTATATAAAGGCAGATGCACCGAGAAATCCTCGGTATCTACGTATCGGTCGTCGTTTAAGGACGAAGGGCCGCGAAAGGATCGTTCGCAGATCGTTCGACCAAAAGATCCTGGCGCGATGAAGACGGTGGGTGCTATATCTTCTATAGAAATCTAGAGAGACAGAGGGAAAGAGATATACGTTGTACTCTAGATACATCGAGATCGTCAGCGACGCGCGATTGCTCTTCTTTAGACCTCTCGGGGCGGGACGGAACGGAAGAAGGGACCGAATCGTGAGAGGGTTCCCGTCGATTTTTTTCGGGCCGGCTCCTCCCGATACGGACGCAGCCACCCAATTTTTGCGCAACAGTGAAAGTGAAGAGGATTTGTGACATTTGTGCCATGCGCGCGTGAGATTACGCACTCGTTCGCGGCGTGATAGACGTAGCCGCGGGAAAACGTCTACAGGGTAGACGTCGCGGAACGGCTGTAATTTCGATGACTAATTTGGAGTACATTTCTATCTTTTGTTCCTCTTCGATTTCAAGGGAAACTGACAGCGACCTTTTAATATTCGAATATATTATTTAAACAGAAATCTCTCAAATCGATAGCCTAGAAATTCGGGTCAAGTCGAGTTTAAGTGTGGTCTGTAGGATTTGTGTTTACTTACTTACTTATTCCGGCCAATTCGCGAGAAAGTTTCGTTTTTTTACGATATTATGTAACTCGAAAAAACTCAGGATGAGTCGATGAATCAATTAACGAGGCTATCATTTCTCTGAATAAACGAAATTATTGAAATTAAGATCTGGCGACACGTTGTTTGCCGTGCAAGCGATATTACTTGATCTTATTTTGTAACACACATCTGATAGTGACAGCTGAAAGATCAGATTCCGGGAAACGACCGAATTTTAATCCGCACAATGACTCATTATCAACGATACATTTGAAGAAAATGTTTAAATTATCTCGCGGTAAACGAATTTAAAAAGATATACCTTTTAAATTCAATTAAAGATTAATTTAACAGAAGTCAACGGCGACGAAGAAAGACGATACGTTTTGTCTTCCCTTAACGAAATGATTTTCTTACCTCTCCTCGTCACGCAGGTGTTCGTCATCCTGGCGCTCGCAGCCGGCGTTCTCGCGGCGCCGCAAAATCCGAACGACATCACGATCGTGAAGCAAGAGGAGTCGAATAACATAGGGGTAGGTGGGTACCGTTTCAGCTACGAGCAGAGCGACGGCCAGAAGAGGGAGGAGACGGCGGAACTGAAGAACGAGGGCACCGAAAACGAAATAATGAGCGTCGTCGGCAGCTTCAGCTTCATTGGGCCGGATGGACACACGTATAGGTACGCGAGAGCGCACTATATATGGGACGTTTGTACCTGTTTTTTGGCCAAAAATAGCAAAGATTAAAGTAAAGTTCCATAATATTTCAAAACTCTAAAAGCTTCGACAAATAGGGAAAAATTTGAGACAATTTATCTCCACTGACCTTCCATCAGTCTGCGTCGACTCCATCGATTCTCCATTGGCCTGCGTCGACTCCATCAATCTTCCATCGATCCTAAACCGATATTCCATAGGCCTGCGTCGATTCCACCGACTCCAAAAACCCCTATGCACATAAATTCATCTCATGAAAACCAATATTTCTAATTTTGATTAAAAAAAAATTTGATTAAAAAAAAAACAGGCACAAACGTCCCACAGTGGATTGCCGCGAAGATCATTTTAGACGACCCGTAATTCGATAGAATTCTATTTCCAATCTTATATTCTGTGTTTTTATGTACGCGTGTGTGTATTTTATATACGTATTACGAAGCTGAAGATTCTTTCCAAGCGTCGAAGAAATTATTCTTTAGATGAAACATCTATTTTGGTCTACTTCGGTCATTCTAGAATTTATAAAAATTTAACTTTAATCATTAAAGACTTACAATTAGATCTGCAATTCATGTTAAATTCAGATCTTAAAATTCTATATTTTTTACATAATTTTTTATATTTTTTTATATGTATTTTGATATGTATATGCATTTATATTTCATGTATGTATTCGATTTTTAAGTGTCTTTGTATATTGCACGGCGCATTATCGAATTTTACCCTGGACTTTAACACGAATTATGAATCGCCTAAGGTGATCTTTAGGATAACAAAAATTATTACAGGCTCAAAAAATCTTATCGCTCGCATTGTTTGGGAATATATTGTTTGGACAGTTATCTTTAAACAACCTCTTCTCTAATTGCAGGGTCGATTACACCGCGGATGAGAACGGATTCCAACCGAAGATCAATCTCGTCGCAAAGTAAACAGGCTCGAGGACTGAAGATACATCATCTTAGGTCGTTGACGTACACGCTCGTGTATTTACACACGAATTAGAATACTTCTAATTGTATGACACTGCGAGGCACGCGATTCACTGATATGCGAACGGCAATGGGCTGGCCTCGGTCGCTGATTCGATCGAGCTTTCCTGCGATCGTTCTTTCCTGGCCGATTCGTTTTCGCGAGTTCCGCGATATCTTGCGATATCGTGGTATCTTGCGAAAGGAGAGGATATACATGTACATCATTTCTTAAAATCGACAACAATCGCGCGATCGCGTAATTGGACTAAATTTCCTAAGATTTCGCATCGTCTTCGCTCACTTAAAATCAAGAATGATTCTTCAGACAATATCACGAGTGTAATTAACAAAATTATTTCGTTCGATACTTTTTCTCTTCGATGCATTCGCATGGAGAGCATCCCGCGAATGTCGCGCAATATCGCGATGAATGGGTCATGTATTCGCGTCTCCTACGAGTGAAACGCGTGCTTACTCGCAATATGCCAATATGTATCATTCAGTTTCTCGAAACTGCCACTTTGAACGAACACTTTGAACGAGAGACGTCTTTCGTTTACAATCTCTATCTTCCACCAGCGAGGCGACGATGCAGCACTCATTGGAGCGCCGCGGTACCTGTTTCTCTCACCGGCGCAACCTCTTCTTTTTTTTTTTAATACATGTATCTCATTATCTATTTCTATATGTATCTATAACAAAGGACAATTCGTGCAAATAAACTTGTATACATAAATCTCCCTGTGATTGTTTATCAGGTGTGTGTGTGGTGTTGTGGTTTCTACAACGAATAAAGCCCACTTTAAACGATCTGCAGTTTGCATTCAAAATTTCAAGATAGAAGTTTACATTTATAATTTCTTATGCTGTATTTTTATGTATGTATTTTATTATACTTATGTATCTTGATTTTTTAGTTGCTTTTCGTATTACATCACACACGAAATTATGAACAGAATAGTAGCCTAAATTCTCACGTAAATTACAGATCGCGCGAAGTGGGTGTAACATTGAACTTCTCTCTTACTATAATTATATAAATAGATATACATATAATAGTTCATAAAGTATATTAATAATCTCTTAATCTCCCTTAAATGACTTATAATCTGCATCGGAATTTAAAACAGAATTCTCTTTATAATTTCATATTGTTTATAATTTCCGAGTTTTTATGTGTGTATTTTATAGACAAATATTTGAAGAATCCAAATACATGTACAAAATATTAAAATACACATACACACACATAAAAATACGCAATATATAAAATTATACGAAAATCCGATACGAATTATAGATCGTTTACAATAGGTTTTGGGATGAGAACAAGAATTGGTTTTCACGATACAAAAAAGGATATTTAATTCATTATAAAAAGATGGAATATTAGTCATTTATACTTACGTTAATAAAATATCAGTTAGCGCAGCAACTTCAATATAATAATAATTATTATAAATCAGATTGTATATAATTATTAATATTAATATTATTACTAATATTAATGTGTAAGCTCGTAATTTTACGTATAAAAATCTCTTAATTACATTAGTAAATACTAATTTCCTACGATTAGCCTATGTACAATCTCTTCAATATGTACTATATCGAAATAATGTCTAGTTTTGAAATTTATGGCAACTATTTGGTAAACGTATTGGTGATCAAGTATTTAAACAATTTATCATAATTAAACATGATGTGAAAACTGGAGTATTGTGCAACTGTACGATTGAACAATACCGATATAAGATTGCAATAAAGCCAAAAGTCCCTCGATGAAACAATAGCTATTAATCTTTTTCTTGTCAACTGTAAATAGACTGCGCAGTTTCAGAAAGTATGAGGATGTACCGAATATTTAATACATATACCTATATATATTAAATATTTCAGTAAAGGTATTGAGCGGGTAGAACTTCATGAAAACTTGCAAATTTTGATTTCCAATAAAATGGCTATTGAAATTTAATGAAATATTTTATAGATTGCGTCCACGATTAAAAACCAAATTAATTCACTCGAATGTCTATATTAAAACAATTAATTGATTATTTGCAACACAAATAATATGAAACGTATCGCTGATGAAAATGTTCAAACGTAGTACATTCGCTACTTCCTTATGTATAAATACTTGCATTGTTTATATGTATATGTATATATCAGTACATTTTATATTTTTTTTTACATTTGCATCATTTATATATCGATTAGATGCAAGTAGCATATGTCTTAGTAAAGCGAAATAGATTTTTCTTCTTTTTTTTTTTTGCAAAGTATTTTAAGCGAAGTATTTTATCCTATATTTCGATGAGCGATGCATCATGTGTCGATGCATACGCATATCTCCTATCACAAATCGATCTAAACGTACATAAATACGTTGCTTGAGATTAATGAATTTAAACTTGATTTTTAAGCTTTTTAAATAGAACTTCTGGACGATCCCCAAGCTCTTATTAAATTTAGAGTTTTATTTAATTTCGACATCCATTGTAATCCTTCTTCTTTTGAGTCAGCTAATAAAAAGTGGCTGCAAACAAAAAATTAAGAAAAATTGTATTCTAATTCTAACACATTCCATATTAACGACAGAAGTAAAAGACAATGATACGTACTCGGTTCTGGTTTGTTTTCCATCTGTCTTCGTAATAATATTACTAGTGTCTCCAGGTTGCGCGGGTCTCGATATCTGGATTAAAAATGTGTACGGACGAGCGTATTTTTCTCCGTTTATAAATCGTACATGCTTTGTAACTGCATCTGCAATCGCGATACCACAGAAATTAAATTAATAATAATCGGTGTTGAAATAATATGCAGAAATTATGATGGTTGGAAATTCAAAGGTAAAGTTACCCTCCAAATCGATACGTCCTATTGGATTTTTCTTGTGCTCGTCCTCAGGATGTACCCAACAGTAAAGTTTAGCGTCTTTAAGCCAGCACCATCTTCGACGCCAAGCACCCAAGTTCGTAATATCTTCGTAGAGAGTTAAAAATCCGCGATATTCCACCGACACCGAGAGCTTACGCAATATATTCATTCGCAGGTGTCCTTCCAGAGGAGAATGTGACGAGACCTGAACAGAAGATGCACATTATGCATGTGAATTATAAGCACGTTAAAATTATAAATCTCCGCTATACTAGAGAATTAATACGCACTCCGAACAAAGTAAATTGCTTGTAATTTATGTCACGCAGGGTAAGAGTCGCAGTCCCAGATAATTCGAAAGCAGGTGATCTGATTACGTTTGGACCTGCTGGGCTCTGTATATCTGGCATTACAAACTGATTCTTTTTCTTTGGCGTCTTATTGACCGCCTGTAAATAGATAACAATATTAAATATGACTGTTGTGTATTTGTAGTATATTTTACTTTGTTTTAGGTTTTAAAAAACCTAGAAAGAACCTTGCTTCTAAACTTACTTTCACGTTATGATTGATATGATACTTCTTTTCATGTGGCAAATATTTTGGGTGCGTCTGGAAAGTGTATACTTCAACACGAATTTTGAAATCACTGTGCAAATTATCAAGTTTCAACATTGAAGTAAAAGAAATACACGCGTCAGCAGTCGCTGGGTCAGCTGGGTCACCTGGGTTAGCAGTCGCTGCTTGAGTAGCGACCACTTCTCCTAAGTAATACATCAAGCAGACGCAATGAAGATATGTATCTGCAACAATTTGCAAGATTATTTTGATACAAACTTTGTGTGAAAAAGTAACGAAATAAAACATTGACATTACACTTACTCATGTCCATGTTTCGGGAATATTCTGGTTTGAGCGGTAACGTAATAGCAGAAATAGTTAATGACCCACTCCCCTCTGCTTCCGGCGAACCTGCCTTAACAGGTATCAGTGTGCCTTCGCGTTTCAGCCTTTGCACTTCATTCAATGCAGCTTGGCGTTTATGAGCTAGAAAAGGAGTAGAAAAATAACTGTTTAGTAACAATACTTAAGTTTTGTGTATGCATAAAAGATTAATACAAAAATAAAAATTTACTAGCAACGAGCAGAGCCCATTCGCCTCCGACGTGCTCACTAGAACCATTGAATTCGACAGTAGAATGACATAAATTCAATGCTTTGCTAGCTTCTTCTATCTTCTTCTGTTGTGTTCCAACTTCGTCCAATAACTTCTTCACTTTATTTTCTACCAATATAGCTTCGTCTACGCGTTTCTCTGCATTGGAAACTGAATTCGATTCTGTTTCATATCTTGCAACTGGATTAGTTTTAGCCAACTGAAATTATAATAATGTTATAGTATTTTTCCGCATCAATTAAGATATTAAACAACTTACTTGAGATTGTTGTCGTCTGTATGCACTAACAGTGCGTACTAATGGAATGACGCGCTTGCCACCATCCTCTAGTTTACTTGATTCTTTTAAAGGCGAACGATATCTGTGAAATTAAAAATAGTTTCTAGAAAACAAGTTAAGGAAAAATGTTTTCAATTAAAAAAAAAACAAAATGTATGATTGACTGTACTTGGATGTATTGCCTCCCATCGACAGACGTTCGCCACCTTTATTTACTTTAGGCGGTGTTGGGCCTTCCTCTCTCACGTCACCCAATTCTTCATCAAGACACTCGTCCAAATACTGATCCATTTCATCGAGTACTGATATGTCTGATGTGGTGCTATCTGGATCCGGTTCTATGCATCTCTGTAAATGTAATATTTAAAAAAAAATTAAATATATCTGACGTACAACTAATAATCTACAATATCGCATTGACATTAATCTTTGTACATCGTATACCTTTTTGTTGAACATCGAACGTTCATCGAGTGCTTGCAAGATACTGCGTCCAAAACTCGTACGCCCAAAAGATGAATTTTGTACGCTTTCTTGATCACTTTCAGTTTCCTGGTCAGTTTCATGCTGCAAAAAATTGAAGACAACAAAATTATTTCTTTGCATATATGTGTGTGTGTTTATATGTATATTTTTAGTTTTAATTCTTTTACTCGAATATAATAATCGGCTTCAGAGGCCGTCTCGGTTTCAGTTTTCTCGTCGAGAGTAGCTGTTACAGGTTCGGTGCTGTCAACAGTGTATTCTGTTTCGCTCTCGCTGTCTGTAACGCTCTCGCTTTCTGTAGTTTCAATCTCGGATAAATTTGGATAAAGGGATCCTGGTTTCGGAGGACACACGCGGATACGTTTGATATCGGATGTCGCATTTAAATGTTGGACCTTGGGTGGGCTTCCAGCAACTAAAAAAAATAGAAGACAAACTCACCGTTAGTAACAAGTATTATAACAGAAGAAATGTAGTAAAAAGTAATGCTCTTTTTTACGTACCCTGTCTTTTCACCGGAGATGATTTACTGTGATACGATATGATTTCCGGATGTGGTAATGGCGGCGGCGGCGGAGGTTGGGCGATATGATCCTACATTCAATAAATAAAATAAATAATTTATTATGTCACGATAAATATGTTACGCTATTCTCCTACGCATAAAGTAACTTGATCTTACAGGAGCAGGAGTCGGTTTCACTGGGCAAACAGGCGAATTCTTCGGCGACGAGGATTTGCCACCTCCTTCGCTGCTCTCGCTCGTTCGGACACAAGATTCAGCGGCGGCACGAGCAACCTCCTTATTGGCATTAAACCGCGAGCGTAACATGCCTAATTCACGCTGTCTCTCAGTGTGAGTAGCTTGTAAAATGCGATTTTCCATTTCTTCCACTTTGTTTCTATTGTTGCCTTGCTCGAACATCGCACGTTGTTCGAGAACTGTTCTGCCCGGGACATCGGCGTTTCGATTGTTCATCGGAGATGAATCTAAATATGATGAAATATTATTATTATATTATTGTTAGATAAATCGTACAGAGAACAAATATTCTCACAATTAAAAAAATTATATGTACCTGTATTAGATTGCTTGTCCTTTTCCCGTAACTTTTTAGGCGGTATCGACATCGTAAGCGGCGCTTTGGGTATTAATGCTTCTCCTTTATTTCGCTCGAAAAGCGCCATCCTTTCGGCGAGCGACATTTGAGCAGGATCTTTCGCCTTTGACTCAGTGCTTTTAGCTTCAAACATCGATGCTTTACTCAACACCGAACCTGATGGTTGGACCACAGTCTTTGGCGAACCGCTAAATAAAGTTCTCGACGGTAATCGAGAACTGCTGGTAGTATTCGCGCTTTTAACATTTTCAGGAGTATTAGAAATTTTACTGTCGTTGCTTCTAGAAGAGTTAGCCGGACTTGCGGTCGCATCACCTTCCGTTTTCTTGCTCCTTGGTGAACCGTCAAACTTTTCAGGCGTAATTCGTTTCCTTTCCATCTGCTGGTGAGCAGAGCTTGTGAACTTGTTAGGTGATAAACGACTTGTAACTGCGTTTGATTCCTGGGAACAATGCTTATAGTCATACACAAGACGAGAATTGCTTTTCGTACGACTAAAGCCTTGAGCCTCCTGTAAATATTTTTTGCTATCCAAATATTCTATCCAAATATTATTCAATCACTACTTCCTTTCTTCTAGAGACGTACAAAGTGCAGCAAAATAAAAAGATAGCGATATAAAAATCTAACACATGTCATATCTGAAGCATCTTTATGATTTTATATAACACAACATGAAAAGTTTTACGAAGCTTTAGTCTTTTAGTCTTTCATTTTTTAAGGATAAAATTAGAACATCTTACCAAATTTTCTAATGTGGTTTTATCCCATTTTAATTGTTTAATTGGACTTGGATCTTTGCTCTTTCTCCCATTGTTGGCAGTAACCCATTTCTTACTTTCACTCGTACTTGGTTGCGGCTCCGATATATTTTTTACTTGCTCATTAAATTTTGCTTGTATTTTCTCTGCTTTACTGTTTTCTGCCTTGCTCTATAAAACAATTATAATCGGATACGCAGATTTAACATATCATTTTGTTAAAATAAAACTTTTAAATTTTAAACTAAGTGTTACAAAATTACCTTTGAATTAGTTAATGTTGGATGAGATAAATCATCCTCCCAATTGTTAATCGTCGAAGCTAAAGCCGCTAATCTGTCGAGTCTAGCGCCCCTCTTAACTGGTTTGTAATCTACATTACTTTCTTCCGCGGTGAATTTTTCTTCGGTCCTGTGTATGGGTGAACTCAACCCAAGATTACTATCATCTATAAAAGAAGTTACATATTATTTCTTCCTGACACCCATGGATACAAATATTAAAAATAATTGGATTTATTTTATGCAAACTTGAATACATTCTTTAAAAAACGTATACGATATTAGCCAAATATAATATTAAGACTTTTTAATATTAAAAATAATTGATTTATTTTATGCAAACTTGAATACATTCTTTAAAAAACGTATACGATATTAACCAAATATAATATTAAGACTTTTTAATATAAAAAATAATTGATTTATTTTATGCAAACTTGAATACATTCTTTAAAAAACTTGTACAATATTAACTAAATATAATATTAAGACTTTTTAATATTATATTTAGTCTTATATAAAATTTTGAATATACAATAATAGAAGTTCTCTAATACAAGTTACATAATTCTTCAAAAAAAATTGTAACCATGAAATGGAGATATATATTCAAGCATACTATATGTATACGTTCTGTATGTGTTAGTATAAACATACTGATGTATCAGTGTTAGAAACAAGTTTTGAAGCAGCTTGTGTGGGAGTGCCCTGTATGAATCGTGTGGGAGTAACCGAATGGAGAGATTCAGAATGATATTTAAAAAGCTCAGTCTATCACTCATCCAAGAGAGATAGGGTTCTTACTCAATATTCAATACAATGTTATTTTTGAATACCGCTTACCAGAATATAATTTTCCAAGTCTCTGCAACTTGGATCGCACATTATAAGTTTCCAATTTCCCATTCTCCTTATTGTCCTGTTCATTGTTCTCAGACGTGACATTCTTAGATACAGGAGACTTACGAGGAGACTTGGCAGGGAGTGCGCTGACCACAACTGGTTTAACCGGCGATTTGGCTAAATTCTTACTTGCTGCTGCTGAATAAAGTGTTTCTTTTAATCCCTCTAACGTTTTTTCCGCCATTTAATCAAAGAGATTTTAACTGTTTCGAGAGTAAATGAGCTAGGGCTCTGAAATTTCTACCTAATGTTCCCTATTATAACAACTTTTTTTAGGGGTAGGGGGGGATTATGCCACGGCCATTGGTTTTCCGGAACAAACGACCGGAACAAAACAACGTTAGAAACGCATGAGACACGAAGGGAGCTTTCCAGCAGTCGACACAAGTGTCGTTTTGTCTTTGTTACTCATTGCTAAAAAAGGAAGATAGATTGATGTTTGTGTCGACCTGTGTCGCTTGGTGGAAAGCTCCCGAAAGTGCCTGGTTGGAGGGATTAAGGCAGATTTGGGTTAATAAACAAAGAAGCTAATAGCTACTTACAGATTTTATCTTATAAATTTATTGTAAATATGTTTTTAACTGTAACTGCTAAAATTTCATAAGACAAGTTTATCTGGGATGATTACCTGTAGCTTGTTCAAGCAAGGCATTCGCATTTTTCAAAGGGCTTTTCTTAACATTGTGTCCTGCGTTCAACAACTTCTCGTCCAACTTCTCTCTCCTTGCTTTAGCACGTTCCAACAAACGCTGTTTGCCAATAGAAATATATGTCAGAGCGTAACAAATAAAAAATTAACAATTTATAATAATTTATTACAAAAATGCTTGTGTGTCAATCTATATTATTATGACATTTGATTCTATCACACAATGGCACATAACAAGGTATTACAGATCTAATATTAACAATAGACTCAGTGATCAATTTCATGTCATCTCTTTTAAAAGTAATACGCAAAAATTTTCACTTCGGAAGCAAATAGTGAGCGACAAAGGGAATTCAGATCGACGTAGGTACAAATCGTGAATGCAGTTCGTCAATTATAACTACGACAACTACGTCACGGTACGTGCCCAGGGTATTACGCCGTATCTTGAGCCGCGTCTATCTCCACGAGGTGGACAAAAACAAAAAGGCTTGGGGGGGTCCCTTACCTGGACGAAGGGCTCCATTATTTCTGGCTGGTCTGCGAACGGCGTGCCCGACGATTTCCAACTCTCGCTCATATTCCCACACGTACTACACGTAGTCGCACTGCGGGGACGCTAAGGGATACACCACCTTTTGACAAGGACACCGAACGAATGCGCGAAACGATCCTCGCCGTTCAGTAACCTGCAACGCAACGGGAGTATCCTTATTTCCGACCGTTAAATTTGAACGCGGGCGCCATACTGACGGGAAGTGGGGAGAGAGCAGACGGGGGCAGGCGGCAGCAGGCGTCGAGGGGAAGAGGAAGCACGAGGGCGCGGAGGAGGTGGGGGGAGAAGCGGGCGGAATGACAGTTCTCGCCGATTCTCCCCCCCCCCGCGATCCCTCGCGGCCGATATCTCGATCGCGACGCGTGCATGAAACGTCGCGTCGAAAAATGCGCGCGAAACGCACAGGGGGACCTTTCACTTCACGAGCATGGCATATCGCACCCATGTTTCGCGTTTTTTTTTTTCTTTCCTTTCCTTTTCCCTCTGACTGCCAACTCGAGATAATTCGCACTGTCTGTCCAACGTGCCGATTGTTTACGCTTCTTCTGCGTGACTTTCGGACGAGGCGAAGGTTCGCGAATTCGGCGAGGAAGGACGAGGAAAGGAATGGGGGATCACGCGATCCCGAGATATGCGAGAAGGGAAACACAGGCTCGATGTCACGAAGCCGGGGATGATAACAAACCTTGCGCGTTCCGTACGAAGTCGGGATCGGATTACGAATGTCGAGCTTCGGTACGCCACAATGATGCGAGAAGGGACGCGAAAGACGACAGAGGCTGCGTCGCAGTGATGTAGCCACAATTTCCCCCCCCCCTCTCCACCACTGTTAACAAAGCAATTAAAACGGGACAATTCACCTTTTTTTTTCTACTTCTGAGTTTCGAAGGGAGAATTTAAAACAGAAATCCGTACATTTTATAGCTTCTAACAAAGAAATTTATATTTCAATGCTATTAAATGATATTAAAAACTTACTTTTTGTAGTAAACAATGTGCTCTCCGATATGAAATAATTGTAAAAAAAAGAGCGAATTTTTCGCAGGTAAATGCAAAAATATAGAGCAATTGTTGAAACAAGTCTTTGTTAATAAAAAGTCGTTTTTGTGTCTCAAATCCTTTTCAAAAGTGAGAAGGGGAACGATAGATATGTTTCATGAATAAAACGCTAATAAAAAATTTTAAAACTCCAAACTTTTCTTTAGAAAAAGGAAACGTTAATTTTTCTTTTATTCTCCGATTCTTACAAACTTGGGCCCTTAAACAAGACACACTTCAATCACATTTAATAGTACGTTACTGACGTGTAACCCCATTGTTTGACCTCACGTTTTGAAATTGCGCTACGCGATTGGTCCACGGGGTCATGTTACAAAACTCACTCTGGGTAACTAAAATCTATAGTTTACGTCACGTACACTATAGCATTTTATTCAACTAGAGTGAGTTTTGAAACATGACCCGGGAGGATCTCGTACAGTACGAATTATGAATTTGTAAATTCAAATTTTATTACAATCGTACGAATTGTGAACCGTTTCAATCGTGGAGCAAAAAGCGCGTGTTGTCAAATGAGAGTTAAATTAGCACGTCAACGTGAACCACGGATGAATCAGTCTAGGCATTTTGTAGCGGCAAAATTAATCAAGAAATATTAAAAACGATGTAAAATCTATTAATTCTAAAAAGTTATACAATGTAATGGCGATTGCCAGTTCTGGCACGTGATAAATTAATAAAAAAGTCTTATTACTACAAAATCATCACAACGTCGTGTCAAACACATCAAGTGTTGATATCCAGTCGCGCGCTATCTATCCCGGTGGGACGTTTATCTCGTATTCTGGGATGAGAAGTGCTTCGTCATACATGGGACGACTCGTCCCCGTTATCAGCCGCCATGGCTTCGCGATTTTCGTACGCCCAAAAGCCGTGGAATTCGATCAAGATACTGACCATCGTGTCGCCTTGTCCGCTGTTGCAATCAGAACGTTTCAGTTTAGTCATAATACATTGCATCTTCGTACTGTAATGTATTACATTCAAAGAATCTTCTTACCAAGACAGTAAATCCTGCAGCGTAATTTTGCACGGATCTGCTGGCTTCACCATATCGAATATCTCGTCTTTGACATCTTCGAAACTAACAGGTTCTTGACCGTGCATCGTCATCTGCTCTTGTATAGCCTGCAAAGAGATACCTCATGATTCAGAAACTGTTAAAGAAAATTACATTGTAACAAGGATATAATAAATACACACCCTGAAAAAATAGTTCAGGCAAAAGGTATCCAAGTAACCGCGATTGTTAATGTCGAGAATGCGAAAGAAATAATGAAGACTCTGCGGCTCGTGTCGATTCTCCAATGCCAAAACGAAATCCAGATACGTCTTGTAGTCCATCTCGCCCTCGTAGGTCAGGCATTCTTGAAACACTCTCTCGAGAAAGACGCCGGTTAAAGTACCGGTGCCGTATCCAGCGAGTTCCTCTTTGTTCAACATCCCGTTGTGATCCCTGTCTAAATTGAGATATTGCCCGTACACTTTAAGCGCCGAAGGCGCGCTGAACCAGTTCGCTTCTTGCAAATCTTTGGGCAAATCCTCGTCTCTCAATTCTAAAAGATCATCCAGAAAGCTGCAGGCTAAAATGTCCTGAATACGAACTCGTCCAGTTCGCAGTGGGTCTAAGAAGAATAGAAATTTCCTGACTGCTGTGCACACGTAAAACGAATGGAACGACTTTTCCAGGCCTTCGAGCTGCGGCAGCGTTGGAATTAGTTCTAAGATGTAATTCTCCAAGTCCTGCAAATAAATAATTAAACGGTTAAAAGAGTACGCTGTTAAATACGATTAAGACCTGCAATCTGAGACATTCAAAGAATTAGAAAGTAAACGCTATTTTCTTTTTCGATGAAAAAGTTTAGAGCTTTAATCTCTGAAAATTTTTATTAGTATTCTCTTTGTGATCTTATGTGTGATTGATATTTTTCTGTTCAATTTATTTTGAACGCTGAAGATGATTTAAAGTGACATGGAATGTCTTGTGATTTTATTATTTATTAATATTTGCCATATATGTTTGCTTCTAACTGTAAAAAGTTGGCCTTTCCTCTTTGTGGCAATGTTGTAAAGAAAAAAGAGCATATTTGATCTCAAAAATATAGTACAGCGTAAATACAATAATAAAACAAAAATTTTAGATGATTATAGAGACTCACCGACTCTCTCAGGTAGCCCTGTCCCGTAATATCATACAAAGAAAGCCCGATTCTTGTTTGGTGCAACCAAACTTTTCGCATGACATAATTAAACAGGGCCATGATGCTAATTCTACCATGTGGATCTCCTTGCTGGAGCTTGGCGAAAACGACCGCGGTAAAGTACGGGCTGCACTTTGCTCCTGCCAGTTTGCCCACTTTCTTAAAGTCTTCGTAATTAATTAATTGCTCGTCCCCCGACAAAGGTGGACTGTGATGCTTGTCCAATAAGATCCAGAGCGCCTTCAGTTCATTATTGTCGAGCAATTGTCGCGAACGCCTCTGGAGGAACAAAGCACGCGTTTCCTCCCGTAATTTCTGCGGTAGAATCTCGTCTTCTTTCGGCAGCTGTAACACAACGTTACAATGTAGAACAGAAAACATATTTCAACGCTCCCGCATGGTTCAAGCGTGCAAGACACAAGTAGTACCTTGAAGTAGAACTTTGGTATGACTTTGTAAGTGGAATCGTCCTTCGCCTTCACGCCCTTCCACTGCTGATACATCTTCTGAAAGTATTCATCCTCTTTCTTTTCATCTTCCTCAGAATTCTCTTGACAACTCTGTTGAGAACTCTCCTCAGAATCCGCTGTAACAACGTGTTTCAGAGCCAAATAAGCATTTTTTACTTATTGTATTTTTAGAAGAAACGGTGCTTTTATTAGAAGACAAAATATACGTACGTTTCTTTGCCAAAATGCGGATCCGCAACAGCGTTTCTAGCTCCATGTTCTCGTGAACGTCCATGGTATATGCCTGCACTTTCTTTTTGTAAAAAGTGCTTCCAACTCGTAGAGTTAGCTCGAACACCTTTACATCAGATTGTTTTCTTTCTTACTATCTTCCTGTTATGTTATTCTTCCTAATCTTCGCAACAGTTGTACTAATATTTAAAGTTCCTTTTTTTTGGTTAGGTTATTTCTGGAGTAGAAAGCTATGGAGTAGAAAGGTCTTCAACTCTGTCCTTGGATTATTTGGCGCAAAAGACTCTTAATTTATTAATTTTCTTAACAAAACTGAGTATGACTCTCAACTTCAGTCCTCTTTTCTAAAGTTTCTCTTTCGGACTTTCGGTCGCTTTGGTTATGTCGCGTCGAGATCAGCCGGAGGCCGCGACGGAGTCGATTTCGTGCGTCACACAACACCCCTTTCACACAAGGTCCCTTTCTTGTTTCTGAAAACGAAACGAAACACGAAAATCCAATTTGTATCGTCCGCGATCACGGTGATGACACACACGCGCGCGCGCGCGCGTACAGCTCCACGTACATACATACACAACGAGTGTCGGCGGCAGTGACGGCTGGCGGCACGGATTATAGGTTAGGGTGACGTCGCGCGGAACAACGCGATGTTTACGGCGAGCGGCGGCGGGATTGTTTTGATTACGTGGCGAGCGCGGGGCGGTCGAGCCTCACCACGAGGGACCCGTCGCACCGCGTAACGTCGAGACACGTGGGTGAGAGACGACGATGCACGGTGACGGTTAAAGTGACAGCGAGATGATTCTCTTCAGAGCGGGCTCGATCCTCGGCCTCCTCGTCCTGGTAAGCGGTTTCCGGGAGTACGGCAGGCGGGAGCTGATCGGCCTGCGGGATGAGGTACGGGCCATGTTCGATTACGCCTACACCGGCTACCTGACGCACGCCTATCCGTACGACGAGCTGCGCTCGCTGAGCTGCGACGGCTTCGACACCTGGGGCAGCTTCTCCCTGACCCTCATCGACGCCCTGGACACGCTCGCGGTGATGGGCAATTACTCCGAGTTCCGTCGCGTCGCCGAGCTGATCATCGGCACGCGGGCCAACTTCGAGGCGAACATCAACGTGTCGGTGTTCGAGACGAACATCCGGGTGGTCGGCGGCCTGCTGAGCGCCCATCTGCTGTCGCGCCGGGCCGGCGTCAAGCTCGAGCCCGGCTGGCCCTGCAACGGCCCGCTGCTGCGTCTCGCCGAGGACATGGCCGGGAGACTGATCGCCGCGTTCGACACCCCCACGGGGATGCCGTACGGCACGGTGAATCTCAAGTACGGCGTGCCGGAGGGTGAGACCAGCATCACGTGCACCGCCGGCATCGGCACCTTCCTCCTCGAGTTCGGCACCCTCTCCCGACTGACCGGCGATCCGCTCTACGAGGAGGTGGCCATGAATGCCATAAAGGCGCTGCACCATTACAGATCCAGCATCGGCCTAGTCGGCAATCACATTGACGTCCTAACCGGCCACTGGACCGCTCAGGATTCCGGCATAGGCGCCGGGGTCGACTCATACTTCGAGTACCTTGCGAAGGGTACGTTGCTGTTTCAGGATCCCCTGCTGGCCTCGATATTCCAGGAGCACAAGCGAGCGATAGAGAAGTACATTCGTCGAGAGGACTGGCATCTGTGGGTCTCCATGACCAAGGGTCAGGTGACCCTGCCGGTCTTTCAATCTCTGGACGCGTACTGGCCCGGCGTGCTGAGTCTCTTCGGCGAGATCGGGGACGCGATGAAGTCCCTCCACAATTACCATCGCGTTTGGAAGCAGTTCGGTTTCACCCCGGAATTCTACAACATCCCGCAGGCCGAGGCGGGGACCAACAGGGAGGGCTATCCGTTGCGGCCGGAGCTCATAGAGTCCGTCATGTATCTTTACAGGGCGACCAGGGATCCGTATCTGATCCAGGTGGGTGTGGACATCCTGAGGAGTCTGCAGCACAGCGCGAAAACCACGTGCGGCTACGCGACCATCAACGACGTGCGGGACCATCGCAAAGCGGACCGAATGGAGTCCTTCTTCCTCGCGGAGACCACCAAGTACCTGTACCTTCTCTTCGACACCGACAACTTCATCCACAATACCGGCTCCGAGGGCGAGATAATCGACACCCAATGGGGCCAGTGCGTGGTGGACGCTGGCGGATACATCTTCAACACCGAGGCCCACCCGATCGATCCTGGTGCTCTATATTGTTGCCGGCCGGCGCAGGAGATCTTTTCCGACAAGAGGCCGATCCTGAAGAGGTTCCGTCCGACGCAGGATAGCATGCCAGTGGACGATTCCTCGCCGAACGAGCCTAATCACGAGAAGGATGCTACCAGCAAGAATCCAGACGTGATGCCAATCACGATGACGAAACTGTCCGAGATCAGGCACCACTCGGCGAGCGGGAAGAAGGATGCTCTCAACGAAAGTGTCCCGTCGCCGAACGTCTCGTCGACGGACGACCCGTCGGATTCCGCCGAGCAGGAAGACGAGGTCGAAGAGGTCGAGGAAGTCGAGGAGGAGGAGGAGGAGGAGAAATCGAATCGGAGCGTTCGGTTGCCAACGGCGCAGATATTCGCTCCCTCGTCGACGATGTACAAGGCTGACGACAGCGACGGTCCCGACGGCTTCGAGCCCCCGATACTGTCGAACGGACAATACTCGGCTTCCGGACTCGCGACGGAGGGCGGTGCTCGACGGAATTTTACACCGAGCCCCGCTAAAGCCAGATTCGAGCCGCAGATAATGCTGGAGAACATCAGACGCGGGAATCTCTATCCGACCAACGTCACAGCGAGGCGGAACTATCAGATCCTGTCCTGTCAAGCTCAACCATTCCTACAACGAATGTCGATCATAGGAGAATTTTTTTAAAGAGGAAATAACGCTCTGGCAAGGACCGAGGGAATCTACGCGAAAATTGCGCGAGTCCGTCGCGGCGATTCTCAGAGTATTTTTGATTCGCGCGTCTTTGTTATGAGAAAATAGGAGGAATTCCACGCGGGCCCGCGTGTCCCCCCGCGTACGTTGTACTTTAGGATATATTCCTGTGATATAATTGTTGTTGTATAGTTTCTAATAAATATATAAGATATTGCAAGTACAATAGTCTTTTCACACATTTTACTTTCTTATCTCAAACTCAAATTTACGGAAACGGGATAATTTTATTTGGCATAATTTTAATAAATTCTATGTAACTTTAGCAAAAAGTTGTCATTAATGTTTAAAATTTCATTATATGTAATTCTTCACTTCTTTGTGAAAATAATCTTTAAATTTCATATTTGTGAAATATAAGAAATAAGCTACGAAACGTTCAGTTCCGATTTAATTATGAAGTACAGAAATGTAAAAATCGTTTTAGCGTATTTCAATTTTATAATTCACGCTTAGGTTTCTCTCAGATATATTTCGAAATAAAAATCCTGAAAATTTTTAAAAACCTCATTTTTTTTGCATTCTGCCTTAGCGACTGTGTCGTATTGCCGACACTGCCGACAGTGCTGAGTGCTGATCAACAATGGCGACGAGATCGGTCGCTTGTCTTTTCGTGCGGTCGTGAAACGTATGGCTCGCCGTGCACAAGCGAGATGCATGTAAATAGTGTAATATAAATATTGTAAAACCGATAGAAACGTTACTTTCTTCGTGTTACTCCGAGTTCACTTCGCCATGGCTGATAAAAGGCAGCACAGTTTGTCGGTGAGGATAAAAAAACAATTATGCAGCTGCATATTAAATAAAATACAATCTTTCGCCAGCTTTGCGAACGAGAGTATCGTACATACAAATTACAATAATCTTATTTGTTTTGTACAAGCCCTTTGTAGAGTATAATGTCTAAAATGCGATCTAACCTCTTTGTTGTAAAAAAAAATACTTGTACTGATTTCAATGTGCATTATGTGTAGAAAGAGGAGATAGCGAAGCAGTTTATGCTGCCGGAGAGGAAGAGCAAGATCGCAACGTTGCTGAAACAGGATGGTCAAGCGTATTGCATTTGCAGAAGCTCGGACAGCTCTCGCTTTATGATGTGAGTAAACGTACCGAGACGTCAAAGAATTATTTTTGTCTAAACTTGGCATATCTGAGACAAGAGAGTGCAACCCTGCATTTTGAATTATTTCAGAGGATGCGACGCGTGCGAGGAGTGGTACCATGGTGATTGCATAAACATAACTGAAAAGGATGCGAAGCACATAAAACAATTTTTCTGTGTTGTAAGCAAGCTTCTCAGATCAAGCAAATCTTTCAAGAGTAATGAAAAGCAACTCGGTGTAATTGATTATTGTAGCGTTGCAGAGAGGAAGATCCGACGTTGATAACGCGATACAAGCCACGCAGGACTGACCAGGATGATAGGAAACATAAGAAGTACAAGGAGAAGGAGAGAGCGCACCGATATGAGTACGACGCGCCGTGGGGTCCTACTGTGGAGAAGAAATCCTCCAAACGTTGCGGAGAATGCACAGGATGTCTACGTATGGAAAATTGTGGAAAATGTGACGCTTGCAGGTAACGTACAAAGAAACGATCGACAAAGTTATTATTTGTGCGAAGCAGTCTTGCTAGAATTAATCTTCTTGGGTCTCATATGTGTAGGCATCTAAAGAAATTTGGACCTTCGGTGCGACTGAAGCTCAGATGCATCCAACGAACCTGCCGTGTAGTAGGCGATCCGCTGAAACCTTCGAAGAGTCTTAACAAGGGGACGAAATTGACCAAGAGGCGGAAGAGGGACTCGAGCAACGAGAGGAACGAGTACTTGGAGCCACCGCGCCACTGCTATGGACCAGCATGCACGAAGCAGTCGCGACCCGGTAGCAAATACTGCTCCGACGATTGCGGCCTGAAGCTGGCGACGAGCAGGATCTACCAGGTGCTACCGCAGCGGATACAGGAATGGTCGTTGACCGCGTGCATCGCGGAACAGAACAACAGACGCGCCCTGGAAGCCGTGAGGAAGCAGCAGCACGACGTCCGTAGGATACTGCAAGAGCTGGAAAAGAGACACGTCGAGTTGGATCGTATTGTCGAACGCGCAAAACACGCGTCCATCGATCCGCAAGCCGAGGTGGACGACTACGACGACACGGAGAGCAGCATGTACTGTATAACGTGCGGCCACGAGGTCAACTCGAGAACCGCCATTAAACATATGGAAAAGTGTTTCAATAAGGTATTACAAAACGCAGTGTATGTTATAGAAAATCACACAGGTGGTTACTTGGGTATACCAGTTTCTAATGGGAGCATTTATGTAAACTTAAAATATTGTGTGTATACGCATTTGTCACTTTTCCTAGTATCGGTTTCAGACTTTCATTCAAGTTAATAAATCGTATAATTTATCTTATGAAATGAGTTTTCCCTCAAAATGAAAATGCTTACTGGGCTTGTATTTTGCAGTACGAATCACAAGCGTCCTTCGGTTCGATCTTCAAGACGCGCATCGAAGGCCAAGTGATGTTCTGCGACTTCTTCAATCCTGGGAACAGGACTTACTGCAAACGACTACGCGTTCTGTGCCCCGAGCACTGCAAGGATCCAAAGATCGGCGACACTGAGGTATGCGGTTGCCCCTTGGTTACGAACGTGTTCGACGCTACGGGGGAATTCTGTCGCGCGCCTAAGAAGAGCTGCGTAAAGCACTACATGTGGGAGAAGCTGCGACGAGCGGAGATCGACATGGAGAGGGTGAGGCAGTGGTTGAAAATCGACGAGCTCGTGGAGCAAGAGAGGCAGATCCGGTCGAACATGGCGACGCGAGCCGGTGTATTGGCTCTAATGTTGCACTCCACTTATAATCACGAGTTAATGGAGCAGATGACACAGGAACAGAGTAGGGAACAGCTGCAGGCGATGGAGGAGGAGCTGCGAAGGAGATATGGTGTACATCAGAAGGAGCAATGCATGGACCAGTGATTCTCTACCTTACACTTGACTGATATCATTGCTAGATCTGTAATTTTCAGCTGCACTTGCTTACCATTTTTCATCCTCCTCCCTTTTTCTCTGAAAGTAAATGGTTAAAAAATGAAAAGCGTAAGCAAGCGTAGCTAAACGAAACAGATCCAGTGTTACTATTTTAACATACTCTTTGTTTCGAACTGATTACGCGTTGCACGGTCAACAGTTTTCCTAACAATTGTCGATGTAACTAATCGCGGACTCGGGATAAAACGTTGAAGAGCTACAGAAACTTGGTACAATGGTTGTAAAACTTGTACTGAAATGTAATGTGCGTATATATATGTATATTGTGTACTTGTCAATAGTATGATTAAAATAATTCCGTATCGCAAATATGATACTTTTAAGCTCTGCCATTTTTTGAATAAACTTACCTCGAAATCGAAGTACATTCTGCTGAATAAGAAAATATATGAGTCTGTCTTCAAAGAAAATATATGAGAAAAGAATGTCTTGGTAACGTAATACCCATCCTGTTATAATCGTACTTACGCTTGTAACAGAACGTATCACATTCTTAATTAACTTAAAACAAAAAGTTTCTCCAAAAAAAGTGGTAGTATGCAACAGATGGAGAAGCAGGTAGTTTCTTTTCGGCAATATCGTTATTATTTACATTATGATATATCGAGATGCAGACGTCAGGATTTTCTTCACATACACTCCGACAATTAATCGTTTTCAACAAAAACCATTTATTCACAGGTCGTAGCCTCTGCGGATGCAAAATAACACGCCAAACTAGCGATCTATCGCTTAGCTTCGGAAAATAATCGCGCGAAGCGCATAGAATGGACATATTCTTATCCTCTCAGGAGAACCGCCTGTTTCGAATCGCCACCCCTTAAACGCGCTAATGACCGCGACGCCTTGCCGAAACCACGTTTCGTTGACGCGCGATTGCCGCGAGATTGTTATCATTATAGTCATTTTGGAAGTTTACGTAAAATATCAAAGAGATAATAAGTATCATCCACTGTCTATGGAACTGAGATACGTTATCTCAGCACACTTTTAATAACTAACACCGCTTTACTCACAATATATCTATATATAACAAACAATAATATAAACTTATATTAACTTGCGATGCAACAATTAGGAACAAATGTGTCAATGCGATGGCAGTACGAAGCTAACGCGTCCGGATGTCCATACAAATTATGCGATTATCCAACACAGACTCGTCGAAAGTTAACTTGTCTAATCCACGTAATCCTACTAACTAATGGTTTCACGATGAGGACCGCGAGAGCGATCGCTGCGGAAAGAAGAACCGGATAGGCCACGATAAATCGTTCGTCGAGTTCGTACCAGACAAAAATTCAAAAGTTGCGCATGTGTATATGTATATCGGAAATGAATTGTACGCGAATTAAACGGAAAATTTGCGACTCGCTTTAAGGGACCGGTTGAAAACAGGCGACCATATCCCGACATATATATAATATTTATATACGTGCGCCGATCTCTCACATTGTACGTGCATGCGCTTCAAAAAGGAGAAAAGGACGAAGAGAAATAGAGAACGACTCATTCTTTTTTCTTTTATCACAGTATTGCACGCAAAGCTTGTACGAAATCGCAAGTAAGACAGCATAAAGGCCAAATGGCGGACACTACACGCTCTCCTATCTCTCTCTCTTTCTCTCTCAGAAACACATCCGCGGGGAGGGTTGGAATTCTCTCGCACAAGTAGCGAAATGTTCAGTCCACTTCCTCGTTCTCCCTCTCTCCCCCTCTCGCTCTCTTTCTCTCTGCCACTCTCATTCATACACACTCCGGCATGTTCTTTCACATTCCATGGCAACGATTCCGAACGACCCTTCACACCCGTGGTCCACGACAGCTTCGGCGTATATCCGACAAGTTATTAACAAAATAATAAGCCACACGTGCGTGTGAATACATCACCTGAGAATAAATCGTGATATATCTCTTCGCTTTCTTCGTAACGATCCCTACGGATTTTTCCCCCCCCGGCTTTTTCACGCAAAACGTTACAATTTTCCATCTCGTACGGTAGTGCCTTAACAATCTGTCGTCGTTCAACGGAAAGATATAGCGCGCAGGCGATAATTCGCTCTTGTCCGGGCTGACGCGGGCCGGATGGCTTCGACGTCTTAATATTAACATCCTAATGGAACGTTAATCTCCTTAAAGAAGCCTCGGAAGAAAGTCGCCCCTCTCCGGATAATTCTGCGAACGCTCGACAATGCGTACAGAGAGAATCGCTGTACTCCCGAGCGATCTGTCGAGACAGATTTAACACGGAGTCTCCGAAGACTCTCGATTCCGAGTAAAATTCGATAAAATAAAAAATAAAAGAGGAAGTTGAAAGCTGTAGATCTTCGCCGAAATTAAACGGACGAAGACGAGACTGCGAGCGATTTTCTTCTCTCTTCGTGTAGGTTCAGCCGCGAAGTCCCGAGAAGAGAGGAGGAAAGTCCAGCGTCGCTTCCACCCCGGAGGGGCGACGAACGCGGGTTTTTGATTTGCCACCCCGGGACGAAGCTCGCCGATGCGATTACGAGACCTCGACAATCAGATATCACCTCGCACACTCGCGAAAGGGGGAAACTTTGGCAACAGACACACTCGCATCGTTAGGGATTTTGCAGCTGGACAGCACAGCCTTTCACGCGCACGTAAGATCCACAGTTCGATATACACAGTATCTCTCACTCTCTCACTCGCTCTCTCACTTATTATCTCACTAATAATAGCGGCATTAATTGTAATCTTAATTGGATAATTTTGCCGTAGCGTTGGTAATAATCATACAATGTTATATGATACAGCGTCGTATGTACAATACGAGAGGAGGATCGTTTCGTTATCGAGTAACAAATTGTACAGCGGCGCGGGACCAGCGTTGAGGGGGGGAGGGGTAGTCGAATCGATTTCCCTCGAGACCCCGTCGGACGGTTACTTTTGCTCCTCGGTCTGCGTTCCGTCCGGGAACAACGGCTAGCTGGCGCGTGATTTATCTCTCGGAGGTAGTCGCGACACTCGGCTGCCGGGTACATCGGATCCGGATGCATCTCGCGTTTTCGCGCGAGCGAGCGATTAACGGACAGCTGACGCCGGAACAGGGCGACGGGGAAGCGTCTCCGAAAAGATTAAAGGGGCGAAACCTGAGCTAGACTCTCGAGGGCGAAACACCTCCGGCGTTTCCGGGGCGGAAAACACGGTGCGCTAAAACAGATTCTGTGAATGAATGGAGATGCAGATCGATGTGAAAGAAAATAAACATATATTTATTCCTTTTCATAAACGCTTATAAACAAAAACAGTAAGGGGGTGGCTGGGGGCTCGGGGGGGGGGGGGGGGCGTACAGGTATTCGTGTATAACTTAGCTTTTCTTTCCCTTTTTGTGATTTTTTTTCTTCTTTTTTCTCTTTGTTCCGTGTTCGCTCGTCGTTTCTTTCCTTCCTCGTCGTCTCGTCGTTTTTCTCGAGTTGCGTTCTACTCGTCGTTAACCGCCTGATCCTGATCGCGTGATGCAGATCAAAGAGACAAAAGTCGGTCCCGGCCGGTTCCGCAACGAACGTCCGCGCGTTCCCACGCGCGCGCGCGTGTGTCCATCGAATGAAGAAAAAAAAAAAAGAGAAAACGTTAATTATGTATACTCTACACGTGCGACACATGGTTGGCGTAGTCGCCACCCCACACTCGCTATGTACACTGTTTTGTTTTGTTTTGTAATGGTCCTATCTTCTTTCTCTTCCTTCTTTTTTTCTTCCTCGCTTAAGTCCTTCTCCACAAGTACATTTGCACTAGTCTTCGCGAACTCTTATCACTTAGCCATTTGAACCGGTCAACATGGCACAGGCTGAGACTGCATTCAGTTGCATTTAAGGCGAGTGGAGCACCTGACTCTGTTTCTTTTATTATTTTTTTTTTTCGTTTTTCTTTTTGAAATTGTAGTTCCTTCGCGTGTCGAGTCGAAGTAGCTCGGAAAAAGAGGTATCCGTCCGTGAGCAGGCGATTCAGTCAAAGTAATAACTGCGAGATCGTTCACGAGTGTGCAGCGTGTCGAGGTGTGATGTGATGTGATATGTATGTGTGTGTGTACACGTAAAATAAAAATAAAAAAGAAATGAAGGGTAAAAAAAGAAAAGAAATCGACCAGTACATTCTCCGTTGGAGCAACATACGCGGGGAGGGGAAGAATCTGGGAGAAGCACGAGAAGGAGTTTAAAAGAAAGTTCTCTCCGTGGAAACGAGTGGAAAGGCGGCTCTCGCGATTGCACTTTTGGAATGTAACGTCGACATCGGCAACTGAATGTAAAACGTGATAATTGGGGGGGGGGAAAAAAGAAGGAAGGGATAAGTGAAGGCGTCTGGCACAGTCAACGTAACGTCGGAAACGTGTCTCCCGCGAAGTTGCCCTTTAAAAAGAGGGAGGGGAAAAGGAAAGAGACCCTTCGGGACACTTCGTCAAATCCGTAACGGATATTTTAGCTGCCGCCTACGGTCGTACCTTTTTTTTCCGAGTTACTCTTTGATACGCGCGATAAACGCTTGCGTCGTACAATTAAATATCTCGATTTCTCGCTTATCTCGAAAGCTGTACCTCCAGCTGGAACTATCTCCTACATACTGGACAAAAACATGAAAATTATCAACGGAGCACGACTATCTTTTTTTTCGTTTTTACACAATTTTGATATCTTCGCAAAGAAAGAACGATATATAACAAACTTGACCAATATTAATTCATTAATCATAATTAACTCGCGTTATAATACTATAGTACACTTTCATGCTTCCATATGAAAACTTATCTATGATAATTTGTTTTTTTTTTTATCATTACCTATGAAGGCGATAAGTTTCCACGATTCGCATCCCACTCATTCTGTTCTTCCATATAGACGTATGAGACTGCTGTACGAAGGTTTTATTCTCGTATTGAACGACGTTGTTTTTTCGCAATGCGAAAAATAACGTCAATAATAAAATCATAACGATTATTTAGAATGTGTTTTCGCGTCCCGACGACAAGAGGCGGTGTCGCGAAACGAATTGAAAGATGCAACTAAAGTTAGCTTTTAAACGCAAAGGGGTTATTTTAATATTTAATCCGTTCAGTAATATTTGGAGCACGATACCGCGGACCCCTGCAGTGTCCCCTGAGGTTTACAGAAGTACATATAGACTTATATTTAAAAACCGTATAATTACAGTAGTTAAAAGCAGCATTACATGCGTTATTATTTCTCTTAGGCTCAATTTTTTTGTTTTTTAGGCATTTACAGGCATACGAATTTAAGATACGGCTTATATATCTTTTCTTTTTCTTTTTCACCTCCAGTTTAATTGAAAAGGTTTAAGAGATCCACCCCCCCGTATATATACTTCCGTTTATATTACAGCGCGTATATGCTTTCATCCACATATACCTCATCGAAATGGTAACGCGTGCACGTTTTCTTCTTACGCCTGTAAATTAAACGCCTCGGAAAACAAGGAAGAAAAATGCAAGAGAATCCCCGCACGTTTCAGAAATTGACGGATCGTCGTTTGTTGGTAAAGATAAATTCGACGAAACGAAAGCTTAGGAACTGGGAACGTATCTCGCGTGTGTGGAGCTTTAAGTGAAAGTCGAGTTACCTTTAATGAGCAAACGATACGCATTAATACAGTGCACACGGATTACCTTCGTGCATTCCCGGGGCAATGCCTCCTACCTCAAATCGAACAGCAATCTCACCCTCATTATCACCCGATCACGGTCTACATGAAATTAACGCACACACGCATTCACACCATTGTATATTTACTTATGATCACAAGCATCTTCTTATAATTATCATTACGAATAGTTATCAGTTATTTTTTATTAAATAAGCAAGTCTGTGTAAAAATTTAACGTTTTTGCGATTCATTCAGCATTCTTCACAGACATTTGACCAGATTTTGAGCTTTCTTTGACGAAACTCAGTTAGTGACCATCTTGTTTTTTTTTCCCCCTATTATTTTAAGCTATCGAATGCTCCACAACTGGAAGAAGCAGCCACTCTGAGTTCTAAGTCGACCACGCTACTTCGATATATTACACACAACCGCGCATTTACATCTCTTTCATTTACAGTCGTCTTAATTTGTATTTATCGAGTAAAGTACAATATCTGTATATATTCTGACCTTCGTCATATTTCGACTCACCGATCATAACCCGTTGGTTCATAATCTTCCATGATGTCGATTTAAAGATCGTCTCAGTTCGAGAGTTCGAAACTACTTACAGACGTTCTACGATACTTCTGATAGATTTCTCGACTCGATGTGATTAGTGCAGGCTTCTTCAACACTTTCCCACTGACTTGCCTAAAGATTCGTGACTTCAAAGGCACCAGGAGATACCACTGTCGATGGACGAGATTCTTCCATCGAGGCTCGCCTCTCATGGTAGACCTGGTTATTACAAGTCCATATCTCGCTGCGTAGCGTTTTCTTCCAAGCACTTCTTACAATTGTACACCGATTATACAAACCAAGACAATCTTCAAAAAATTTATAGAGATGTCTGACGTATATACACGCGTGGCTCGTACGCTGGAAGTTCCCTGCACTCAAAGAAACAAAGATACATCTCTCTCCCAAGAAAGAGGATGTTTTCCGATCAAACGTTCCTAATTGTCAATACTGAAGTTCTGCGACTGTCACCATCGTTGGAAATTTAGCAAGTACAATGTACATTACTTGGAATATACACTTTATCCTTTTTTCCCCTTCGTTTTTGTTGACTGATTATATGTACATTGCTATTATTATCTCTTGAGGCACACTTTGCACCACTCAGCTTCACCGATCTCGCGCGTTGACACAGCGATCTTAGCGTTCGACTCGAAGAAGCAAGATTCTCCGAACGAACTTTAACCGTCCCGAAAGGAGCAACCGTGCACGTAGCACGTAGGAGTACTTGGTCTCGCGTATCAACGTGACCGAGACTCATCAAACTAACTATTTGCAATGGAAGTGGTTTACCAGTACAAAAGTTACTGTCATTGCCTATTGCCTTCGTCGCGTCGAAAACTTTCTAACTTCACTGTCCGCTGTAAAACTGTATACGGCCGGTTGTCACTGGCATTTCTCTCATGACAGCGTCCCATGCTATTGACAAAAAGAAGAAACAAGAGCAGTGAGTACAAGGAATAAGCAAGATAGTAGGAACGGTGCATTGAATAACTCGGTTAAGTTCGGAAATGCTATGGTGTATCTTACCTAAGCCAACGAACGACACGATCTTATCGTGGTTGTACGTCTGCACATTCAGTTCTTCCTCGGGCGCTACGTAGAGCATAGAGAAATCTTCCTTAGGCGGGTGAAACTTCTCCATGATTCCGGGTGGCGGTGGAGGCGGCGGTGGCAGATACGTGGGTGGCGCGAATCTGGTGGGATAGCTCATGTACGGCAACGGTTGCACCATGACCGGATGCACAGGCGTCACGGGATGAGCGTTCGGCTGCTGCATGTGATAATTGGACGAGAACTTGTCGTATCTCACGGGTTTCTCGGCGAACAACGGCGGATTCCTCTCGAAATTGTTGGGCGGCGGTTTATTGACGAGCGGCGGTATGGCCGGGGAAAAAGCCGGATTCGCCGTGATCGTCGGAGTCGCCTCCTCGTTGCCGTTATCCTCCGAGAGCAGCAACTCGTTTATCTCGAAGCCAAACGTGAGTTCCGTCGGCAGATTGTTGTTCTTCGCGATGTCCGAGGAAGTTTCGTCCAACAGGATCACCGCGGGTCTAGGAGTCGAACTCTTCGTCTGCTGCGTCTCCGCGGACGGTCTTTGCGACTGGTCCTTATCGGACTGCGTGTTCGGCGATTTCGTCTTCTTGCTTTCCACGTCGTCGCGCTGCTGATTATCTTGTTTCGAGTTTTGCGGTTGACAGACTGCCACTTTTGCATCGTGCTTCATCGCGGTGTTCTGATACTCCTTCGCGATCCTCGCTGTCCTTGGATCGCTGCTAGTCGTCTTGTTACTTCCAGATTCAGATTCAACGCTCTGCGAGTCCTGCGTAGGTTTCGCAGTTTTCAACTTCTGCGCGTCCGCGCCGTCGTGCGACGCGCACGTTGGATTATTCTTGCTCTCGGACTGCGGGACGTCGGTATTATGCGATTTCTTGACTGCCTCCTCGTGATAAGAAGACGCAGGCTTTTTAACGTGTTGCTCTTCGTACATTCCCTGAGTTTGTACATTTTGATTACTGTGTACGTAATTCCTACGAGGGCGAGGATTGTTGACTCGTGGAAACGTAACAGAATCTTTATTGTTGACGGTGCAATTAGGATTGTTATCGATATCGACTGGATTATAATTCATCGTTGTACTATTATTGTATCTTGGCGTTACGGCGTTTATCGCGGTAGTCTCGTTTGAATTCGGGCTGTAATTGCTACAACTCGCATGTTTCTGTTCCTTGTGTTCTGTTGCTTGCGTTAGGCTTTCGTGCATTTTCTCGATATCTTGCACATATTTAAACACTTGGATGTTCTTATTGATGGCCTCTTCCTGAGCTTCGGCTTTCTTTCGATCTGACGAATTTTTCATCTTCGTCAGAGTCGGCGAAAGTGGCTTCTCGAAAGCCAGACCCAGACTCGCTGCTGCATGGTTCGATTGGGCCTGTTGCTGCCTAGCTTTCCTCTCCGAATGCTGCAACTCGTCTAGACTCGGATAATAATCTTGAGGCACTTTATCCGGTTCTGAAGGGGTCTTGGGTGGAACACTGGGCCACGACGACGTGTTTAGCATGGCGGACATGGTCAGATTGTGTGTCATGTTGATGGTAGCCATGCGCGCTATGTCCGCGTAACTCGCCTGCGGAGTGCCGCCCGACGATGTTGCAACTTTGGCCAAATTGTGCTTTGAGGTGTTCGATGTAACCGGCAACGAGTGAACTGAATCCAAATCGCTACTATCTGCCGATTTGTCGCTGCAAGGAATTACAACATATTTGAACATTATAATCTTTAAGTGTCGAATCATCTATTACAAATATGCAAAACTGTCTAATTACCTCGGAGGCATGCTGCTAGCCGATTTTCTTCGGAGTTCGGGAGAAAGAGGTGTCCTATAGTCGTTAGAGAATCCTCTGGAATTCTGGAGATACGATCCTGATGTCGTCAGGTTTTGCGCCCTGCCGCCACTGGAGCTTCTTCTTTGTTTCTTGCTCTTTTTCTTTTTCGTAACTACCAGAAATTCCGTCTCGTGCTCCGGTTCCGGATTAATCTTTTTGTTGGAATTACGACGGCTCGTGTAATCTTCTCCCGTGTCATTGCAATATATCGACTGACCTTCCTCTGTCCCCCAGGATCGCCTGTCGCCTCGACTATCAACTGTCGCATCTCCGGTGCTTCTTTGTTTCGGACGTCGCAATGCTATATTTACGCCTATCATTATAAAAACAGTATAATATTAAGAAAGATACATATAAATCATGTCTAAAAGCTGTATATATACACACATACCGTGTTGACTGGACACGCTGCTGGCACCGCTGGAACTAACACTTTTCTCCGTCGTGAGATCCTCTAATTTTGTCTTCGAGATCTCTTCTAGGGAATTAGATTTTTTTAACTTGGAAGGCAACTGTTCTCTCTTTGTATCCTTCTCCCTGGTTCTCGGTTTTGTGCCGGAACTAATCTTCACTCTAACGGGATTACCGGTCTTTCCCTTTTTGCTCTTGGATTCCTTATTCTCAATGAAGTTAATTAGACTGTCGATATCTTCGACGATATCCTTACGATGGCCTTCGACATTTTCGGCATTGTAAACTTTGACATTGTGTTCCTGAGTGTGTTTTCTCCTAGGCTTCTTCCGTTCACCGTTATATGTCTGCACAGCGTTTCCGTTTTCGTCTAACGACTTCTTCTCCCCCGACACGGATGGATCTTTCATCGTGATGTGCTGCGTTGTATACCTGGGACCTTCTGTGTGCAAGTCACATATTTCAATTTGCAATAAATAACTCTATTAATTTTGAGACTCGAATAAAACACACGTACATTCTAATGCATCCATAGAAAAATCTTTCAAAAGTTTAAGCATCATATAAAGAACATTAAATTAAAGTGTCATTCTTACCCATTGTTATATTTTGCGTTTGCCAAGATGCCGGCATCACGGAGCATAAACTAGGTACGATTTTGCTCTGGCTAGTGCTAGAACCATTTGAAGCCCCACCTATACTGCATTTTACGCTGTTGTGTGGTTGAAACAATGCCCCTGTCACCTCTGTACCATTAACAGACATTTTTGATTTCTCTTGCTTATGATCACGTATAGGAAACTCTATAGTGGTGTCCACAGGTGTCTGTGTTATATCGAAAGTTGCTCGTGTGACATAATGGATCGGTTTGCGCGGTTCGATAATTTTCAATTCGGTCCCTTCATCATTTTCAGTGTCTAACGAGCGAGGCCTCTGAATCCCACTTGCCGTAGATCCTACATTTCTTTCACTGATAGCACCTACCTACAATATACAAAAAATTGTATCCTTCTAAATGTCGCCTTTCTGTCTTCACCAAACTAATTTCTTTGTATAAAAACAGAAAATAATATTTCCTACATGGAAAAAAATGATATTATATCAACAGCAGTGTAATCGAGATGAAATCTATTGATGCAACATCAATATTAATGAACAAAAAACATCACATAGTTGTTTTAATAATTTAAATATTTGACCCAATAATATCCAATTGAATTAACTATTTATGTTTGTGGCAGCCCGTGACGTCGACGTTTAATTAAAGCAACTTCTTTTTTTTTAATTAAACAATATTTTTTCCGTGCATTATTAAAATATAATATTAAAATGAAAAACATTGAAATATTTATATGTATACGGAATAAATGTTCTCTTAAAATTTAACAAAAAATAATAATTGTACAATTTGACTCTTTAAATTGTTTTGTAATTGTTTTCCCTTATTTATTAACCTTTCAATACCACATGTACGCCATGTGTCATTCCCATGCCATTTAAAACCTATTAAATATTGAAAAAATCGTTTTTATTCCAGAGAATAGATCCCCCTCTAAAAAAAAGGCTTTGCAATAAAAAGAATATCTCTCAGTGATGATATGAATCGTTGATCGGCTTTCGAGCAGCAAAAAGTTATTAACAAAAGTTACTAACAAACACGAATGACCCATGTGTTTTGAAAAAGATTTTTTTCACAAACAAGCGAACATTATTTTTCAATATATTTTCACTTATTAAATATTTCAATATATAAATATAATTTGAATATAAATTAAAAATAAATATAAAAATAACAAAAATGTTCAATAAAAATACATAACGCAATTTTTTTTATTTTAAAACAATTTTTATATAACTCAAAAAATTTTCTTTTCAAGTTTTATATATATTTGAAAAATTCTTATATATAACCGATAGTATCCGTATAGTGCCGAGATTACTATAATACAAAAGGAATAGTAAAATTTGTAATAAAATTTACATTAAAATTTAACGAAAATGTCTCTTCGTATATCAATTAGCTTTGAAAGGCAAATTACCGAGAGAATCTTGCCACGAAAATTCCTCTAATAGAATCGGAATCGGTTAAACTATAAGTCCTACATATCACTATAAAACTACAAAAAGACGCACAGTACAGATATATGCAGAAGGTATCACAACTCTAAGAGGCTAAGGATCAATTAGCACAAATGATATTTTACCTCAACATCACCCAAATCGATGACCATGTAATCCGATTTATATTCCGGGGGTGGATTATCTGACTCCAGCATTTCATTTGTTCCGTATTTTCCTTTGCTGGCTCGTTTCTCTCGTGTTTCAGATTCTCCCTCGCCTGAACTACCAGCGGTGTCTCTTTTCAATTCCTTTTTCTCTTTCTCCTTCTCCTCTTTCTTTGTACTGGTGTACGATGGTTTGTCTAGAGACTTGGATTTTTCCTTATTGGTCCAATCATAAGCTGACCGTTCCTCGTAGAAGCTCTTCTTCACAAACAGATAAGAAAATTGCCAATATGTTGCTTACATTCTCATCAAAGTTACAATATTATTGTATGACAATGAAATGTCTTTCAAAAAAAATTTTTATTTAATTTATTACATGCACTAATAAAACATAGACATTTATATTTATGAATATTATTATTAATTCTAATTATAAATACCTTCTTATCGAATGTTAGATCTAAATTAGCCAAAGAAGCAAGGTTATGCGATGCATTTACATTCGACGGTAATGATCCACCTTCTCTCTGTCTAGCAGAGACACTGGGTCCTGTGTATTTTTTATTCTTCCTCCTACTACTTCCGTAAGTATGACACGAACTAGACGTCAGATAAGCAAAACTACTATCGAATTCCGAAGCTATAGGCTGCGCTAAATTCTGCAATGATCCGCCGTGTGTCAAACGCTCGGACACAGACTCCCGTTTATGCCTCCTGCGATTTGAGCCCGGAAGACAGCGTGAATTAGATATCACTCTACGGCCTTCCTCAGTCTCGTCCGCTTCTGCCTCTTGCAAAAGTTCCTACAAAGCACACATATCAATCTATACATATCTTAACACAACAGCATTTTTATGTTCAATACATAATTTCAAAGCCCGTACGTACCTTAAAAAGATTAGACTTTCCTTCCCGATCTTTCGGACGTTTGTATGTTATAGCTTCATCCAGTAAAGCCCGTAACTCATTATCATTTAGCATAGACAGGGTTGGTGGTTCCTCCTAAAAATGAGAACAACTGAAAAAATTACATTATTTACGCAAGATTGCAGAAACTGCACTGTACTGATTACATTCTCGTAGAGCTTTCCTATTTATCTTAGCCAAAGTAAATACACTTTAAGAGTAAGTTATTAAGGTTCCTAAAGTTCTCTTCTATTTAAACATCGTCTGATGTCTACATTCTTAATTTTAATAGAAAATACATTGCGGAAAACATGTATTATCTACATTGTCACAATGTTAAAATAGTTTTGCGATAGGAATTAATTCGTACGCGAGCTGAATAAGAACAGATGTATTGGCAGATCCCTAGAGAGTAAATTTAAGGTTTCTCTTATTGGATCTGTGTAAAGCCGATTCTACAATACGTTGCAAACGATGGCAACTGCTAGTTGAAAAGTGTTATTTCTGATTACCGCGTGCCCAGTTACTCTCGCCAAAAAAGTTAAAAATTCGCCAACTCTCTTTTGATAACCGCAATTGACAAGTGCAACGTGGAAATAACACTTTTCAACTAGCAGTTACTATCGTTTATATATATATATATATATATATATACACATACACATACGTATATAGCTTATGTATCTTTTAAAAAGATATATGTATACATATGTGTATATATTATATGTATGTACATATATCTTTTTACATAAATAATATATGAATAATATATTCATGCGCCATTCCCAAAACGCTAGGTAAACAATCAATCTGATGCAATTCGATCGCAATTTTGATTCTCAATAAGACCCTCTTAACCACGCCAACATAACCAATTAGCCTGTCCACAAATGGAAAGCAGTTGAAACAGACTCTACTATTCCACATGGAATCATACACAGCTCGTACACGCGGCAATAGTGTCAAAAATAAAATGCGTCGAGATACGCGTGCCGTTATCGTCGCTCCGACTGAAACTCCAGATTTTATCCAGCGCGATTATACCGGGTGCGGAAAAAGCGTGCACGCACTCGAGCAGTGTCGAGCACGCTCCGAGAGTTACACGTTACGTTCGTTCGCATACGGGAAACTCGATAGTGTCCGAAAACGAGAGAGACGGACAAACAACCGACGGACAAAGCGTCGAAAAGGCGAAAACGGAGACGGTGGGGAACGCGGGGGGGAGGGAGGGAGGGAGGGGGGGACGGGGGGCGGGGGGGGGGGGGGGGGGGGGGGGGGGGGGGGGTGAGACGGAGAGCGGGCGAAACGAGGGGAGGCGAAGGGAGATCACGGGACAACGATACAACGTTGGTTCGGCGAACTCGCCGAACGTTCAATGACATGACGAGAATCGTCACGGAGTCCCAATTTCTTATGCAGGGTGTTGTGCGTGCGCGAGAGAGAAAGAGACAGAGAGATTTTTACGTAGTAAATCGACGACCGCCGTCGTCGGGGACGGTGCGGAAGCCGCGGAGTCCGATCCGCGGGCCATTCGTGTGATCGATAGCGCTCCAGCGATTAGCTAATTAAGACACGAACTCCGAGACAGAGAGAAAAGATAGAGCGGAGAGACACAGACAGAGACAGAGAAAGAGAGAGAGAGAGAGAGAAAGAAAGAGAGAGAGAGAGAGGGGGGGAGAGAGAGAGAGAGAGAGAGGGAAAGAGGGAGAGAGAGAGAGAGAGAGAGAGAGAGCGATATCAGGGTGACTTACGATTTACGACGGAAGGCGGTGGAGAAAAAAATCCGCTGGGCAATGCCGGCACACGGAATTCGTATTTTTAGAGGACACACGGACGGCCGGGTTCGCTCGTTCGCTTCGCGATCGCACTTTCGCGGACTCGGCCGACTTCTCGCGGTCGCGCCGCCGCTGCTTTTTCAACACGCGAGCGGACGAACGTCGCGCATCCCGGAGCCCGTGGACGGAGCTCCCTGGGCTCTACGTGCACGGGCGGCGTCGTCGCCTTCACGAACGGATGAGCAACGTCGTCGTTGTCGTCTTCGTCGGCCGATACGGCGGGGTCCCCCGGTTTTTGAAAGCTACTGCGACGAGCGGGCGCGGCGCGCTCTTCCCAGCATGGCCGCCGCCATTACACTGAGAGCACGGTTCGGCCCAGGGGCGTAAGAAGATTGGGGGGGCGCCACGCGGCCTCCCCGAAACCGAAATAGCTCTCGTTCCGCTCCTTTTCGCTCTCTCTCTCTCTCTCTTTCCCTCCTCCGTCGCGCTCCCGTATCGATAATTCGCGAATGAAAACGGAGTGGAAACAAAGGAACAAAAACAAAAAACAAAAGCGCGCGTTTTATCTCGATTTTCAACGCGAGGATTTCGAAGAGATTGGAGGGATCGAGAGTTTCGCGTTCGCGCTCCGGAGAAGAAAATAAATCTTCGTTCCCGCCGTGCGTCGCGAGCGAAACGTGTACGAATCGTTGTCGTGCGTCCGCGGCGACGAAATCTGATTTGTCACGGAACGGGACGGCACGCTCTTGTTCGCGACGATCACGCGTGCGTACTCGGGCGAGTCCTAGTCTGTTTGGAGGATCGTGCGTGTACGTATGTACTACGTACAGATGTGCACGCGATGGCTGTCCGGGATTGAGAATCGGACGGCCGCGCGCACTCGGCCCTAAATATATGTTCTTTGTCGAATTTCGCGACGAGAATCCATGCGAGACAATATCCCTTTCTTCCGGCGATCGTTTCGAGACTTTTTTTTTTTTACGCTCGTAACGCGAATCGCGGCTCGATGTTGCTCTCCCCGAGATGCTCTCCCCGCAGAGAGCGAAACTCGATAAACATCTGTCATCGAGATGTGAAAAATGTGCAAGGATGCCCCATATTCTGTGGCGAGCGCGTGTCGATTCGCGATCGACGAGCTATTATTCGAAAAAATAATAGCGCAACCGGCGCGAACCGACCGTTACGGAGTTTATCGCGTCGATGAATCACGTCGGATTTATCTTCGCCAATGTTGTGCGGCGTGGAATCCAAAATAATGAAAAGCCGAGCTATTTTGCCGTGTCATGCCTTCCGGCATGATGCAGTCCGCTCCATTGCGTCCATCTTTTTTTTAAAAGCTTTATTATCACTCGCACGGACTTATATATCTGTTGTATCTTTGTTTTTTGTCAGTGCATCCGAGTGCCCGGTTTTTTAACACTTTTCAATCGAAAGATCGGCCCGGAGAAAAACATAAGCAGTAAAAAACTTGATCAGTAAGCAAATTGACCAATGGCTATCTTAAAGGCCATCGCACGTAACAAAGTTTTAGTCATAATCGTATAAGGACGTAAGAAAATAGACCAATCACAGTCAATTATTCTCCTTGAGCTCGAAGAATAATCGAGCGTGATTGGTATATTTTCTTACGGCCTTACGATAATGACTAAAACTTTGTTACGTGCAATGGCCTTAAGTTTTTCAGAATACTTGAAATTTGCTCATTGCTTGAGTCTTACTGTTTAAGTTTCTCTAAAGGCCCGGGTAGAAAAACTTAAACAGTAAGACGTAAGCGATAAGGAAATCAACGGTACTGATTCGCTACCGCTTACGTTAGGTCTTAAGTTCTAGACTGTATGATTGGCTGATTTGCTTACCGCTTAAGTTTTTCCAAGTGCCATGGCCCTAACTTGTAGCGTTTTCTACCGGGAAAACTAGTGCAACACACTGGTGCGCAATGAGTGCAATTTTATTGCTCCAACGTGAAAATTAGGTCACATATTTTCAGTGTTTAATTTGACAAATTTTTGTCAGTGCGTTAGCACCAGTGTTGCACTAGTAAGTTTTCCCAGTAAAAAACGCTATAAGAAGATCGAGAATTGAAATCGATAGAATCTCGACTCGATATGCGTTACTTTTTCCCCTCAGTGTTGTAGATACGAGAAAATATGCCTCACACCAAACGTCGCGGTTATAAAGATATGTTTTTTTTTTTTTTTTTTTAATACTTTGTAAGAAAAAGAAAATTTCGGAGTATAGAAACTGCGGCGTCGCCGATCGCAACGCCGATCTCGGGGACGTCGCCGCGCGATCAGCCGACGGTCGCGCCCGTATACGGAGTCCCAGTTCTAATCGTCACGTCCCGAGAGCGTGTGCGTTCGCGACCGATATTAGGCCGTGCCGTTTTTTTGTTTTTTTTCGCGAGTTGACGTCCGTCGATCGCGCCTTCTGCGCGACGCGACGAGGCGCGTTCGCACGTGGCAACTAAAGACTCCCGAAGACGGTATCGGCGAATCGGTGGGGGGGCTGGTCGAAGTCTCGCGGAGTCGACGTCGCGACTCACCTTCCACGACATAAATGATAATGGTAATTAGTTTACGAGCCTCGCGCGATAGCGCCCATTATTGAATGGTAATTGATGAGCGCGTCGTGTTGTAAGGGAGCATTTGCATGAGACCGGTTAAAAAGGCAAGGCTGAATGGGATCTTTCAATCGAAGGTGAAACGAACGAATAAACCTGACTTAAAAAATGTGCATCGTCTCCGGAATATGTGAATTGGAAAAGAAAGCAGAAAAAAATCAGTGCGCGAATAACCGCGGAATTCGTTGACTAATTGAAACTACTTGTAGCTTCGTCGAAGCTTCATTACCCGTTTTGGTTCAAAATCGGTAATCGGGAAAATCATAGAGTTACAAAGATCGCGATTACGTAATCTCTAGAAGGATGAAAAATCGACCTTGATTCAACTGGTGCATCGCGTAACGATCGAGCGGCTTGGCCCTTATCTTTTTCGATAAAGACGAAAATGATAAGCGTGAAAGGAGCAGCGAACAATAATGAGGGAGAAAAATAAGAGACGGAGGGGTAATAAAAACAAGGTACACAACGAGGCTATAATTAACGAACCAAGGAGATGAGTAATCTTCTAAGGGACGGGGAGGGGAGAGGAAACATGACAATGCTTCTTTCCGACGGTGTTATTAATCATAAATAGAATGTAAACGTTTAACAGTTTAATAAATATGCGTACCCGGTATACAAATTGCGCAAATTTGCGAAATAGGTCTGTAACATTAATTTCTCGTTTTCCGTCGCGTCCCTCGGCATAATTCGGTCCTCAATCCACCGCCCTCGGTCACTCTATCGATTTCGCGTAAATTCGGCACAATATAGCACCGATCTTTATTACGCAATACTCGTAAATCAAGAATCGAAGGCGGCGCTCCGATGGGGGACGTTCAAGCTCGCGATCGGATTGCCTAATTGCCCGAAAGAAATCGCGCCGAGCTAATCGAACGCCGAAAAGGGGTATTGAGAACGTATTTGCGCGCGACGCGTCCTCGCTCTATCGAGGGCCAGCACGGCCATTTCAGGAGCGTAACCTCAGGAATGTGTCCTCAAATCGCGATGGAGATCCGCGCGACGTGAGATTCTCTAACAAAAAAAAAAAAGGGATAGACGACGACCTCTCACCTTTCGACGCGATTTGTGGATTTCGAAACCGATAACGAACGCGCAAATTTTTCACCGCATTAAAATAAGGGAAGATGAATATAGCGTGTGAAATATTTGCGCACTATCTTAATTTAAATTTGTTCGTCTCACGTTACAATATCGATACCGTGTCCCGATATTCTATTTTAGAATATTATTTTATTTAGAACGAGAAAAACGCTAGCGACGGAAGACATACAAAATTCGATTTACTAAATAGATATAAATAATTCGGTGACGCGAATGAAAATCGTTCGTTTTTCGGAGAGATCGTGATCCAAAATAACATCGTCGGAAACGAATTAATCGAACACCTGACCAGTTTTAATCGGAGCTCATATAATTTATAGATCACACATTCGATTCTCTCATGTTCAAAAGCGAGAACAGGAAGAAATTGGAACATTGAATGATGTGTCAATCGATGCATAATTTTCTCGTGAGCCGGATGTTTATTCCTAGGCAACAAAAATAACTTTCTGACGAGATCCGACGCGAAAGGGCGAAAGCTAAAGGTCTCGAAGAAACCTTCGTCGATAATTTTACAGATCCCCAGGTCCATCCTGCGTGCTTCTCGTTGTACAAAGTACTCGCGACAACTTTGAAAAAGGGGAAGGTTCCTCGACGACGCGAGTCCCGAGATGTTTTCCTTGACGCAGTCGCGCTCACCTGTTTGCTGTCGGCGCCGCTGCTCGGCGGCGAGCTGATCGAATCGGCGGCGCCAGCGGCAAAATTAGCCGGAGCAATCTCGATGTTCGAAGTTTGCTCCGCGGCGGTGACGGCGACGGCAGCAACGGCGACAGGGTGGTCGTCGTCGTCGTCGTTGTTGTTGTCGTTACTGTTGTTGCTGTTGTCGCTACCGGTCGTCGATGCGACGTTGACGTTCTCTACATCGATAACAACATCGGCGGCGGCGGTGGCGGCGGCAGCAACGGCGACGACGGAGGCAGCGGCGTCGACGTCGGCGGCACGATCGCTCTCGGCGATTTTGTCAGGAGCTACCGGTTCCTGACGGTGTTCCGGCCCTGGGGCCATCTTGATCGAGATTGACAGCGCGGTGTCCGCCGTGCTCATGGCTCCCTCGTCATCTCCTTCCCTTCTCTCTTAGCCCTCAAGGGCCATCAAGCCTCGGAAGGACCGTTCGAGGACCGCTCGTCGACGATCCGTGCCGCATTGAAGACGCTGCGCCGCACCCGATGAACTCTCGGTCGTACGAAGACGAGAAGCACGTTTACGACGACGACGATGTCTCGATGACGGAGCGTCGATCCGGTTGACACCGACGCTCGCGCGGGACGCTGAGTTTCTCAACTGTTTCAATTCGAACTAATTTTGGTCCTCTTTCTCCTCGTATCCTTTTGGATTACAGAGACTACGTACGCGGCCTGGAAAAGGACCGGCTAATCTAGATGTTCACCGAGAGAACAACAATGAGCCGTCAATTTAGAACTCGCGATCAGTCAATTTGGAGAACAACAGCCGCGAATCTAATTAATCTAAGAAGTACCTTGGGCTAAGAAAAGGACGAGAGCGAGAGAGGTCCTTAATCCGGGATCCGATCGAGCATCCAGGGAGGTTTTCGATCGAAAACAATGTCCGGATATTTAAAGCACTCACGATCTTATCTATGCGACGCGACGCGGAGTTCTTCGCGGAGATTTTTGCACTCGGTTCCGCACGCGCGCGCACGCGACGGGAAAGATGGCCCCGTGGTTCCTCGCGACGGATTGAATCCTCCTCGAGAATCGGAATCGCGGGATTTCCCTCGGCGGAGTTCCTCGTCGAGATCGGACGGCACTCGTTTTCGCGGCGCAGCCACGTCGGCGAGAGAGGGCTGCCGCGGAGCCGACGGCCGAGTCCTCGCGCCGCGCGAATTTGAGGTTAGTTCACGGGCTGTCAACCGTCGCGGCGACACAGCTGTCCCTCGCGCGACGTCATCGATCGCGGCGGGGCCCTGGCGGAAGAAGGTTCGACGTTTACTCCGTCACTTGGTCGCCGTACGGAGACGTACGCGAGGATCTCACAGCACTCGATCAATTAAAGCGTTCCTTCGCGGAGGGCGAGCGCACGGCCCCGGGGAGCGGACTAGCGGAGCGTCCGTACGGGAGGCAACAACTTACGTAAACGCGACACCGCTCTGGCGGTCACATGTCAAATTTGAACGATCGACGCGTCGCCAACGGGTGGATTCGACCGCGTGCCGTTTTCTTCCTCCTCTGGTACACGTCACACCCGCGCGTCGTGGGTCCAGGTCGTCTCAAAAGTGCGGAATCGCCGTGCACGGTCGAGATCGGGGCCCGTCCGGTGTCGCTGCCGCGCTGCTGAACGTCGGCGTTCCCTGTCGCAGGTGGACTCCGGCTCGGCTGGACAGTACCATTTCCAAGTACGACGACGACGACGACGACGACGACGAGGATGACGATGACGGCGCGTCGTCGCGCGGACAACACGAGCGCCCGCCGAGGAGGCTGCACTGGCTGCTGCTGCTGCTGCTCGCGCGGCAGGAGTCGGCGCGGGGAGGTGGCGCGCGTCGACGCGTAAAACCGTCCGGTCTCGGCGTAGCGACGCGGCGATGTTGATAATCGCCGCCGCGGCGAGCACTCATCGATTCAAAATGGCCGCTGCCGCTGCCGTCGCCGCCGCCGCTGCGCAGAGGCGACGCGGCGAGTGCTGCACGCGCGACGCACGCACGTATGTACGTACGCGCGGCACGGCACGGCGGAGAGTCCATCCGCGAGGACGTTCTCGCGGAGTAAACCGATATAAACGCTACGCACACGCGGGACTCACACGAGTCTCACGCAAAAGAGCTTCTTTGCCGTGCGCGCTCCCACTTTCTCACAGCCACGCACACCGCGCACACGCACGGCGGCACACATATACCCCGCGAAGCACGCGAAATCTCTCCGCGCGTCGATCGCCTTTTAATCTATCCTCTATCCTCCACGGCGAGGAAGCGCGCGACGTCGGCGTCGACGAGCGACGTCGTCATCGCCCGCTCGGCGCGGCGCCGCGATCCGTGGAGCGCCGCGACGCACGACCGACGGCCGCTCACGGCGCGGATGCCGTCGGCATGGCAGATGCCGTTCGCTCTCTCGGCGCGCGAGGACCGCGAGAGGATCTATACGCGGAGGAGATCGAGGGTTATCCGAGAACACGATAGGAGACAAGCGCGGGCAGAGTCGATTCCGCGCGGAGCGACGAGCGACGTGCGCCCGTCGATTGGTCGTCGTCCCCGAGATCGGGCGCGGGGTTATCGATCGCGCGACATCGCCTCTTCCTGGGGGGACCACGTCTTCGAGCGAGACGTCCTCGTAGGAGACGATTCTGGGCACCGACGGCGACAGTCGCGACGAATTGTCCGTCGGCCGGGGCGCCCAGCAAAAACCCGCCCGAGAAAAAGCCTCGATTTCGCGGGGCCGCCGGCCGCGGCGGGGAACGGGAGGCGGCGCACGGGTAACGCGCGGGGGCGAGAAGACAGGTCCACTTCTCTCCGAGGAGATTTCACGGGATAAGTCTCCTCCGTCCGCACGCGCGCGAACGATTATCACCGGGAAAGCGGGGAAAGGCCGAGGGCGGACCGCCCGCTTTTGCAACGGACTTTACACTTTCCCGTCGCGACACTACAAAGAAGCGGAGAATCCTCGCTTTTGCGCAGAGGAACGGCGGCGGCGAACCAGCCGCTTGGCCTCCGAAAATGTCGTCTGGCGCGCGGGCAGCCGCGTGCCTCCTCGACGAGGGAGCCTTGGTGCTACTCTCCTCGCTTTTCCTCCTCGCTTATAGAAACGAAACCGACGAATGACTATTCCTTTTAGCCTAAAAACCGTATAAAGGAGAAAAAGAGAGAACTTGAAGGTGCGATGATTGACGCGAGGCACGTTTTTCTACAGCTAACACGTTCATTACGAAGCAGACAATCTTTTTATTAACAGGTAGAATACTCGTTGAAGTTAGTATTGATGTAATAAATGACCTACCAAAGTTTTATAGTCCGGTGATCATTTCAGATTAATTAAAATAGCCTGTTCCAGATATCTTACATTTCATTGATTCAATTAAACAAAAATTAATATTAAATAATTATAGTAATTATAGCTTTGGGAGCGGAAGTGCGCGTGGCGCGCGCGGAACCGATTACGGTCGTGGGTTTTTGATCGCGACCGGTGCACGCGTCACCGCAGGTCGATACATCTCGAAATCGCGGCGGATACGAGGCACCGCCGCTCGATGCCGACCGCTTCGTTGCCTGCCAGCTGCATCCGGACGACGCGACGCGACGCTCGCCGACGGCCGACACGTAGGGTAGAGCGTGAGGAAGAGAGATAGAGAGCGAGAACGAGAAAAGTATCACGCGTGTATTCTCAGTTCGAGCGAAGTGACACTCAGCGGAGACGACAGTGCGGACACCCGCGAGTCGCATCCGAGAGATAATCCTTGACACCGCCGCGCCGGCAGCCCCAGATAAGCCATGATCTCGCGTGATCTCGGGAGTAGATATTCGCCGCGGGAGAATCCACGCCGGAGCGACGCCGAGATGTCGGAGTCGGAGAACATCTTTTTGTTCGTGCCGAATATCATCGGTAAATACCTAATCTCGAGCTACTTTTAGGATATAATCGCTCGATGTGACGAGCGTGGCGACGTGCGAAACCACTGTCTTACATATGTAGTACGCGGTATGACTGGCATTGACTGATCGTGAGAGGCACGAGGCGGCTGTAAAACCGGATTTTCCTTCGACGAGTCATTTTGCGTTAAAGTCGTTCAGTCGATGAGACGAGCCATATATGAATCACGCTTTTAAGGTTGCCTTTATTGATCGAGTCCGCGCCGCTATTGTTTCACGTAACGTTTGTATCGGCCAGCCAATAGTAAACTTTCCCCGCGATCCTTTCAGTTCCTTTCTTTAGGCCGAGAAGCTTGAATCTTGAATTATTTTCTGACCATAATGACGAGACGACCGTTCGAATTATGTTCTCGCGCGTCAAACGTGAAAAAAGTAGTAAATACGATTATGCATTCCAACAGGTTTCGGCAGGGTGATCCTGGCGCTGATCTCCTTTTACTTCATGCCCACCAACTATGTCATCGCGTCGTGGTGTTACGTGGTCAGCTCGCTGCTGGACGCGATAGACGGCCACGCGGCCAGGTATTACAACCAGAGCACCAAGTTCGGCGCGATCTTGGATCAGCTGACGGACAGAGTCGGCACGATGTGTCTCATGGTCACGTTATGCCTGTTCTATCCCGCCTACACCTTCTGGTTTCAGTTGAGCATGGCTATCGACATAGCCTGCCACTGGATATACTTGCACACGTAAGAAAGAAAATAATGAATGCATATTATTATATGTATTACAGGCTGCGGTCCACTTGACGCTACAAATGCTTCGAAGCATTCCTCTCCTCTTTTCTTTCAATAAAGAAAGAAGGAGAAGAAGAACGCTCCAAAGTATTTGTAGCGTCAAGTGGACCGCAGATTACATTGTATAATACATTGTATAATGCAATCTAAGGAGAGAATGTGATTATATTGCCTTGTCGAAATGCAGGACTCTTCTGCAAGGGAAGACCAGTCACAAGTTTATCGACATGTCTGAGAATCCGATCATGAGACTGTACTACACAAACCGGACGGTACTGTTTTTCATGTGTGCTGGCAACGAGGCGTTCTACGCCGGTCTGTACCTGTTGCATTTTACCGAAGGACCAATTTGTAAGTGCCATCGTCGCAATTTCACGTTTCTCTCTCACTTGCAAACGCGACACACGTAACACTATATTTCGTCTTGCAGTTGTCGGTATAGGTCTGTACAGATTGATCGTGTACCTGAGCGCCCCGGTAGCGTTCGTCAAAGCCGCTATCTCTGTACTACACGGATACGTGGCGTGCATCAACCTCAGCATCATCGACGTGAAGGAACGCCAGGAGCGTCTTAAAACAAATTAAATCTCTCTAAGTCTCCGGACGCATTATCTGCTAGTCAAACTGATTGTGATCTACGAATCTTCCTGTTCTACAAACTGGCGCACGCATGTTTACATACTTCCATAATTCCATATGTATATTTTTAAGAAGAAGTGGAGAGAGTGTGTTTAAAGATGCGTGGTCGAAAGATGTCTATTTTGATTGGCCGATATTCGACTGGTAGGAAGTACCGCGTTTGAAAATAGCAAACGGCCAAATTCCCTTATTCCCTTATGTGTATTAGAATGTATGTGAAATCTATTCTTCTTGCGAAAGAGGAAAAAAACTTATTTTTAAAGCACTATTAATAGCGTCAATGACCAAAATATTTTGTTACCGTAATATAGCATTACATTTATATATTTAGCATGTTATTTTATAGCATTTACTGAAACAGTGAATTGTTGATGTCTTATTTTTAGAATTTGTGACATGTAGAGATCATAGGTGTCTAATATCTTCGATATCTCAGTATATTTTTACATTTTTCCAGTAGACAGTTTAAAGGACTAGCCACTCTTCGCGTAGCCAAAACATGTAGCGAGAATGATTTCAATGTATTAAAATGAGTTGAATAAAACATCACTTTAATATCTCTTTGCTCCAATTTATTGCACCGAATTCTATGAATATCGAGGTTAACATATACATAGAAGTGAAGTATAATTAGTACAAATTATATGAATATTATACATCAGCTTTGCTCAATTTGCGACATAGGTATGGCAAACAAAATAAAAAGAACCTTGCACGCAGTGCAACCATCCTTTTAACCAAATCAAATACAGACTTTTTGTAAAATACAAAATAAAGATGTAAATACCGAAATACATCAGACATGATAAAAAAAATAAATAATTCTCAATCTGATGTAAAAGAAGGTAGGAGCCGTGTAAAACGGATATATATCGTAAAGAATCAACAATGAACTTCGTATTATCGCGCTTGGACATCCGCGCGAGGAGTCGCTGGCGGATAACAATGACGCGCGTGTCGTTATCGTGATCGGGGGCACCCGCACGGTACACGGAGTGACGGAGGCGCAAAAACAAAACGTGTTAATTATAAAACGTGACTGATAGGTTTCGCACGCGCGCGAACCGGGATTGCGCGGTTGCGCTTAACCGGGCGCGGGTACGCGGGGGCGGGAAGGGGAGGGCGACGGCGGGACGGAGAAATTCGGGGTACCGCGCGATACACGGCACCGGGCGGCACGAGCCCCGGCGTGCTCCGGCGAGCAGGAGGAATAACGTGTACTAACCTCAAAGGCCTCGCTCTCCCGACGTGACCAGTCATAATTTCGGCGCCATATTATCACTTCAAACACTCGCGCATATCGGGGGGGAAAGTTCGCGAACTTCGTCGTCGCACACACGGGGCACCTTCCTCTTATCGCCGGGGAACACCGCGAAGGACGAGTACCGCGGCGCACGGTCGCCGCGGGGACGCGGCGGAGGGTGTCGGTCGACGAACGTCCGGGCTGCCGGACGCGAACGCGGCACGCGCGACGACGTACAATATTTATAAAAACAGATGAGGATTCAGCAGGACCGGTGCTCGTCGAGGCGGCGCGGCGCGATTCGGTAGAGCGACAGAAGCGCCACCGTCGTCGCCGCCGGCCACCACCGCGGCCGGTCGACGTCGACGCGACACTGCCCCTTCGCGGAATTCGAATCTGCGGGCGGGCAACCGCCCGCATCCTGTCCACCGAATCTTTCTAATCGACGCGATAAAGCGAAACGAACTTCCGCGATCACTACGTTATCGCGATCTCGACGCTTCCGAGTCACGGAATAAATAAATGCGTTCGGAAGATCGCTCTCCCCGTCTTGGTAACTTTCGCGTTTTCGAACGACAAAAATAATCGAAAATAATATATATGTATCTCTTTTTTTCTCTTTCCTTCCTTTTTACGAAAAAAAACTTTATTAAATTTTTGAGCGGATTCGAATTCGGGCAGAATTCGAGCTACTCGCTGTTCTTTTTATTCTCGTGACACCGCGACGAGCTGTTCGCTAAAATTCAAATCCGCTCTTGAGGGATATACTAATTTTAGGTTCCCTTCGGCGTCGACTACTTTGACTTGTTGAACTATTAAATTGTTGTACTTGTTGTCCGTGTCCTTCGGTTCTGCGGATTCGGCGAGACCTGAGACGATTAAGTCTTTCAGGAATTGATCCAGCACATTCCTGAAAAGAATATAAGATTTTATCCAGAACTGACCTTCTCTCTCTCGCGCGGTTAAAACAGATAGAAATGCGAACAATATTACATAAAGCTTGCAAATTGGGATCTCACCTGCAAATTGTGAACGACAACGCGCTCGTTACCTCCACGAGCATTGTCTGGGTGTCTAGAGACATTTTCGTCACGTCACTGTTCGTGATGGGCGGAAACGAAATAACTCGCTGCGACTGATCCAACAGGCATGGGAACGACGGTTTGCCCTCCAGCATATAGAGATACTTGTGTATCCCGGAGTAAACGTTCCGTTTCTTCTCCTTACGCAGATTCTCCGCTTCCGTTTGCAACTTCTGGAACAGATCCGCGCCCGTGTACGTCTTGCTGTGCATTAAAGGTTTTATCTCCAATTCCGTGGGTAGCATCGCTGTATACGTGAGGTGTCCTGCGTAACAAAATATGTTTTAGTAAAAAAAAAATAGATACAAAAACAGTATACTCTTTATTAAACATTCGACATTTACCAGGCGCGACGAGTTTCAAATCGTGAGTGGCTATCGTAGCCGCATTCCTCTTCTCGCATATCCCATCGTGCAATCTCGTTTGCAGTTGAATAAACTTTTTGAAACTCTCCTCCGTGAAGCTCATATTTTTCACGATACACGCAGCTATGTAAGGCCTGATACTCTTTACATTTTCCATAAGTTTTATCACCGGCACGTCGTCTACCACCTTCAAGACTCTCAATTTGTGCGTCAAGCTCTCCACCGCGCTCTCACTCTCGGAAACTTTCTGGCCCCTCTTTCCCTTTTTCGACGTATTAACTTCTGTCGTGGACGACTCGCTCCTTGGGCAGTGCAGCTTCACGTAATCGAGTACTTGCTTCGTGGTACATTGATTGATCAATTTGGTCAGCCTCCTGTCCGACAATTTATTTCCTTTCAGGTACACTTCCTTCAGTTTACTACAATCTGCTAATTCACTTGGTACAACTGCGTGTTACAATATAATTATGCATTACTTATCTTTGGACATTTGACGACTTACTTAAGGAAAGTTAAGGCTGATTTATAGACGCCGTAACCGTTGATTTAAGCCGTAATCTTTAAGAAATTGACCAATCACAGTCGATTGTTCTTCTCACAAATCAACGGTTACGGCCTCTATAAATCAGCCTTTTTACATTCAGGGAAGATTACTCAACAGAGAGAGGCTGTGGTCCATTTGATGTTACAAGTGCTTCGAGCGTTCTTCATTGAAAGAAAGGAGAAGAAGAATACTTCAAAGCATTTGTAGCATCAAATGGACCACAGCCAGAGAGACATACAAAGGATGGTACGAAAATTAAGTTGCGTTACCAGAAATTAAGTTATCAGCCAGGTTTAAGACCTTCAGTCCCTGCAGTCGGTTTATGGTAATTGGAATCTCCGTGATCCGATTCCCGTTGACGTGTACCTCGGAGAGATGTGCGAGTTCCGCATGACAAACGTCGGGGAAGGCCTCGAGCTGATTGTTCGACAGGTCTAGGATGCTCAGTTTCGTGCACGAGCTACACGACGGTACGTTTCGCAGGAGGTTCGAGGCGAGATTTATCGTGCTGAGCTGAGGATGGCTGCCGAGCTCCTGCGGCAGCGAGGCCAGCTTGTTCCTCGAGCAATCGAGCACCTTCAGCTTGGCGAGCTTGGCGATCGCGCTCGGCAACGCGGCGATCTCGTTCGAGTGCAGCACCAAGGTCGTGAGATTCGCCAGCCTCTCGATCTCGTCCGGCACCTCCCGAAGACACGTGTGCGTTATGCTGAGATAATTCAGGTTGTGGAGGTCGAACAGGTTCTCGTCCAAGCCGGACGTCTCGATCAGTTTGGACACCGACGCGCCTGACAGCACCAATTCATGCCTGTTTTTCTCAGCCGCCTGTTTCACAATTTCCCACGAGTCCTCGTGCGTCATTTTGATGGCCACCGATTTCCCTTATTCGGAATTTTATTCACTCTTATCTGTAAACAGTATATCTCAACGAGGAGTGTTTTGAGGTTAGGGACCGTATACTCTACCGCCAGTAAATCTATTTTCGAAATTGGTACTACGTAGCCACGTACTTATTCATTTTCCGACGATAAAACATCATTTTGATGCGCGCCCGTGCTACATTTGCAAATGTAATGGTGTTGTATAAAAATGTAAACGAGCAAATCGCAGCTGTATCAAATATACTCGACGCTATACCTGAAAAGCATGATATATTGATTACTTATTAAAAATGTAATTTTTCATAATATATTTTTGCGATATTAATAAACTCAATTATTATTAAATTGTATACTGTGCGACTGTGCGTGCAATATTAAAATTTAATTGCGTATTTTCGGTTAATCAACGCTTTTATTTAACCATCCATTTGACTCGCGTAGTGTCAAATGATGACCGAATTAATTATTAAGATGCATCTTCGAATATTTCGTCGTTTATATTATTAACGATACGTAATGATAGACATTGGATGGATTGATTTCGGGACGACTGATGGCCTCACAGCTCATTTAATTAGCAATAGAGTTGAATGCAAAATTTGCATCAACCCTGTATTTATTATTTGCAACAACATCTGGCATTAGGTCGAATAAGGCGATCGATGGTCCAATGAGGAAAATTCGTTTTCTAAAAAGAAATTCTCTCATTGCACCGTCGGCTGCGTTCCGACAACCGACTTCGACATGCGGACTGATTTTAGAACCGGCCTTAACACATTGACGATTTATAAATTCGGCCGAAAATGTATCGTGCGAATATTCGATAAAATGAT